CATTGACCTGCGTTACGCATGCCAGGAAACTTCATGGGCAATAAGCCAAGACTTCTCTTGATGGCTATGTTCCCGAACTTTAAAGGCGTTTCGAGATTGCGTTCGTGCATCCATCCGTGGACGGGTCATACAATGAGCGCAAGGCAAGGGGAGACATTGCTCCAAGAAATAGATGGATCGACTATCTCAACTCCAGATCCGCATACGATGCACTCCGGCCTAATGGCAAGGAATTCCTCAATGATCCCGACATGGAGTTCTACGTGAGATGCAACAGCGGTCATACACGACAAGTCGATCTCCAATCTTTTGGACGACCCCTGTACTCCGAGCAGAAGAGTGAGCCTCGCCAAGAGGAACCGGACTATGACCTTCCAACGGAATCCATTCCTCCAAGTCCGCATCCGTCAAGATCAGACGCGCCCCATGAAGACGAAGGCACAGCTCACGCAAAGTCCAGAATGCGAAGGCCGGCACCTCAATCCATTGAAGAAGAGAGAAAGATCAAGCCGTTCGCGAAGAAGCCCATCACTTTCATGTTCCATGCTACATATGGAGAAAACCTGATCAACATCATGGAGCACGGGCTGAAATCTGGGAGATCCCAGTCGAACCCTTCGGGGAGAGTGCACATCCACATGGCATGCATCGACGACGTTATCCTTGATGACGAAGCGTCAGAAGCCGCATTGACACATGTGCCAACAGAAAGAGATGCTTTGTTGATCCTGGCACTCCTCAAGGACCAGGACTACGACATCCGACTCTCCGAAGAGCGAACAGCATTGACAGATCAAACCATCGAGGCGAGGAACATTGTTACGGCATTTGATTCCGAGGGAACCATCATGATGAGTAACAGTTGGATCATGAAGAAAAATCTCGGTCGTGAAGACATTAGTTCGCCGATGCCTTCTTCAAACATGTGAAAAATGATCACCAAAACAAGGAAAGGTCTGAAAAAGATTCCTCCAGAGAGACCAAGAAGCGACGGCACTCCACCGATCAGGACGAGGTTGAAGAGGAGAACATGGAACCCTCCGGGGAGAGATCCGTCAAGCCAAAGGTCACCATGGAGTATCCAAATCCTGAGAACCTAGACGAGTTCATCCAGGAACTCAAGGAGATCTACCTCAAAATAGAAATGAGCAAGAAGGACGCCGAGGAAGAGCTTGTGGAGACCAAAAAGAACTTCCTCCATTTCATGGAGAAGTACAACAAGGATCCCAGAACAGCTCATCCTAAATTAACAGAATGTAAAAGAGCCTCATTGGCACACGTCGATCCCGATGTCAACCTCGAAGAAGAAGAGTTCTATTTCCGCCATCGAGGAGAATGTCCCACCATGGACGAGCACCGGAAGGCACAGCCAGTATCAGGATATCCGATCAAGCTTCCACTGGGATCGAAGAAGCTTAGATCACATGACAACCCAGATGTCATTCGAGCATTTGCCGACATCCTGGGATCGCTGATGCAGCCGACCGACCGTCCCTCTGTAAACCATCTCAAGACGCATGAGTTCACCTCATCCCTGACGATCAACATGCTTACTATGAACCGTGGAAACCTCACGAGGAATCCAAAGCTGGACGGCAGGGAGGTGTACAACATGGCGATGAAGGACCGACCAATCGTGAAGATGATGATGCAGAACAGCGCACACATCTTATGCCTCAATGAAGCAGACGCATTCCTCAGTCCTCAAGATGATAAATCCAGAGAACTCATCAAGACGTTCATCCGATTCGGGTACAAGGGCATCGTTATCATGCTTTGTCCGCGGCGGACCTTCCGCAAGAGTGGAACTATTGGCAAGACACATTTCCACAAAGAGTCAGAATTGGGGAACCACATTCGGGATGTTCAGATGCTTCTTCGGAACCGAGGAAAATTGCACTGATCCTGAATACGACATTCCGACCTCGGACTGCTTGGCAACTACGGGACCATCCATGTTTACTGAATCCAAGAAGTACATTGGACCGAGATTGCCACCACGCACCACTGTCCAAGGACACGGACGTAACAAAGAGATTGTCGTTCTCCACGTCGAGCAGAGTGACGAGTATCGTGGTATGCTCCCAAAATCATCCAACAAGTCACTCCTCGAGTTTGACAGCCGCCACGTAACAGACCTCCCGGTTGCTACCATTGGAGTTTTCCACATTCATCCATCAATCAGTACCAATGCGATGCGATCACTGGAGACGCCAACAAATCCGCGAATACCTACAGCAGACTCCAGCACGTCTTCAATCCGGCCAAAAATCTCATAAATATCCTCATGATGGAATATCAGAGATTGTGGAATGAAACGGAGAGTATGCAATGGAGACTTCACGCACCCTAAAATCCATTCTCCGTCATCACTCATACAGGAAGACTGGATCAGGGTATGACCGAACATTTCCAGATATATTGCTGACATTCGTGTTTGGGTGGGGCAAAACGAATATCCAGCAGGTTTTCCGGAAGGAAGAGATGAACGCCATGAGAGATGAACAACTGGAAGCCATGCGGAACGATCCAACGCCTGCCATGTTCGACTATCAGGTCTCATCCGCGGAACGCTTCAAGCACGTGAACAACGATGTGTTCATGAATGGCTCACAAGATTCCGACTCGCACAGTCCGCTGATGGTCTACATCCGCAGCAGATCTGCCGCCAGGCAACGCAACTTTGAGAGATCCAAGGAGCACCTCAAGAAGAAGCAATCTTGGACTCAGCAAGAGTACAAAGAGTACAACAAGCAGTACTGGAGCAATCCAAAGCAATGGAAAGACTATGGCGACTCGACCTGGAATGATTATGGAGACTATGGCAGTCAATCCAACAGCAGCCGCCGGTGGTACCGCTGATCACTTGATGAAGCAGCCACCTTTGGCACTTATTCGACCGACTGAGAAGACTCCCACGATCGACACTACGAACTACAACCAGATTGAACATCACCGCCAACAAGACTATTCAGTGAGAGATCAATAGTTTCACATCCGTCCCGCATGTACATAGCGTTGTGCATCACCTTTTCGATACATCTAGGTATCTCACAGAATCAGTACAGACTGTTTACCATCCGCGCCAAAATTGGATGAATCATTGTAACAATACATGGCTACGGCACTTTCAAATACGGCTACGGCACGTAAGGCCAAGAAGCCAATCATACATTTTGGTGTGAAAGGTCAAAAGAAATTTGTGTCTGTTTTGTGTTGCTTTTTGTTGCATATTCACACACTCCGCTGACATGTGGCTCAAGGCCTTTCAAGTCAGTTGTACAGTCGTTCGACTCATGGTACATTGATAAAAAGGCTTGCAGACCGCTTTACAGGATTCACAGTCAACACAAGCCACCAGGGACAATCCATCCTCCAATCCTCCATATTGGCATATTGGACTTTTTCCGGAATAGATCCAGGGACCAAATCAACGACCTCTACTACCACAGGACCCTTCTGGGATAGGCACCCCGGCAGTGGGCCTCAGGGGGTCCCCCACATACCGCGCGGTAATTTGATGACGTTCCACTAAACGTAGTCTTCGGGGAGCCAGTGTCGCAAAACAGGGTCCCAGGCTCGAATCCCCTGCCGGCTCTTTGCTGGTTTGGGTTTCCTGCCTCCTTTTGCATGAAAAACTCTGTGTTGTTTACGTCCTCTTTGCGAAAACGCTGGAAAAACCGTGCTGTTTCGCGGGAAATACTGGGGAGCAAAGGGGAAATGCAAGGAAGTGCAAGGAAATGAGGGGAGGAAATAGGAAGCCTGACAGGAAAGCAAGGGGAAATGAAAGGGAAACAAAGGGGAACTGAAAGGGACATGAAAAGGACAGAAATGAAAACAAGGGGAGTGCAGGGGGAATGAAAAGGAAACAAAGCACAAGGAAACCAACCGGTACGACGGGAGATGTAGGGAAGAACGGGACATATATGGAAAATGAAGCGGACATACCGAGAAAATGACAGGGACATGAAGGGGGAGTTGAAAGGAAAGGACGGGACATGACCAGGACATCATGGGAAACCTGAAAAGGACATGAAGGGGAAATCAAGGGGAAAGCCAGTAGTAAGCAGACAGTTCAGGGTCATGAAGGGGAAGCGCCCGGACATCGAGGCAACTCAGGGGGGATGTGACGCTGCAACGCAGAGAGAGAGAGAGAGAGAGTGAGAGAGAGAGAGAGAGACACAGAGAGCGAGAAACAGACAGAGAAAGAGTCAGAGAGAGAGAGAGAGAGAGAGACAGAGAGAGAGAGAGAGACGGAAAGACAGAGAGAGAGAGAGACAGAGAGAGACAGAGCCAGAGTCAGAGAAAGAGACAGAGAAAGAGTCAGAGAGAGAGAGAGAGACAGAGAGAGAGAGAGAGAGACGGAAAGAGAGAGAGAGAGAGACTAGGTCCTCCAGTAGAGAGGTTAGAATAAGGGTACCCTTTTTTCTGTAGAGGGGCGTGGACAGGAAGGAGACAGGGAGACAGAAAGAGACAGAAAGAGACAGAAAGAGACAGAGAAACAGAGAGAGAGAGAGAGAGACAGAGAGACAAACAGAGATAGAGAGAGACAGAGATAGAGAGAGACAGAGATGGAGAGAGACAGAGAGAGGGAGATTGAGGAGAGAGGCTTGGGGGGATGGGGGGGATGGGAGCAGAGGGAGAGAGAGAGGACGACAGAACACACGGGGGAGGAGACAAGAGAGAGAGGAAGAAGGAGAAAAGGGAGAGGACAATGTCGGCGGACTGAGCCGGAGGCTCTACAGTTTGACCTTCCAGCGGAGAGTTGGCACTACGCATGAGAGGCGGATAGAACAAATAGAGTTAAATAGAGCAACATTGAACTCTGTACAGTTGGTTGTCACTTTCACTGAATGCCCCTCGCCTGTCCAAATGCAGTACCATAATACAACTTTCCGGCATACTCACATGATGCCATCTCTCACCAGTTAACATGCAACATGGGCAGCCCAAGCTGTGGCTGGTCCTCTAGTCAGGGAAGGCCCCCATCCTCCTCCCGCCTCCTCCAACGTCTTCAGATCGCCCTTCTCCGTGAAGTCCTCCGGGAAGAAGGTCCGGTAAACAGCTACCCGCCCGCTCTCGAAGCCGGCCAGCACCTCACGTGGAAACTGCGACTGCTTATACACGGCTGTTGCTACACTGTAGCTCCAGGCACTGCAGGTCAGGCGCTGGACGCTGGACACTGAAGAAAGAAGGCCTTCAAATTCAGTCAACCTTCTTCCCTCCAAACCGCCAAGATGTCTCAACTCCTCACCCTCCCTCCCACCCCACACACACACCCCAACTCCAGATCGCGGCGCCGTCTCCACCGCGAGGCTTCCCTCCTCGGAGAGCTGGCGGCTGGGCAGGCACACCGCGGTGGCCACGTCCCCCACGCCCCGGGAGGCATCGAAGCCCTGGATCTGGTGCAGCTGCTTACGCTTGGACCCATGGGACCGGAAGAGGTAGTACACCGCGAGCTGCCCGTCCCCAATGCCTCGCATGTAGCGTCAGTGGAAGTAAGATTTGCTTAAAGGTAAAAGTGGGATGCACGAAGAGTTCTCTAGAACTGAGAAGTGGGGTGAGCATGGTCAGTCAACGCACAGGTGTGGAAGGCTGAACGCTGGCGCTCTGTTCTGCGATTTTGGCACCGGGACATGGGCTTCAGTGCGAGGAACCATTCGAATATCTTCAAGTGGCGTGGAGCTGTGAGCCCATCTCAACTAAGCCAGTCAAACGCCGAAGCGAAGCCCCGGCCCGCCTGCCGCCACGCGTGGCCGCAGCGGATCCACCGCCAAGCTGGACACCTGCTAGAGCATGCGCGCAACTATAGCACCCTGCAATATGCCTCACGCTCTTGGCTGTGTCAACATGTACCCCTTATGGTTCAGCATGGTCGATAGTATAAAACCGCGCTTCTGGCCTAGAAAGTGGCCCTCGCAGGAGCGGATGGGAAGAGCCACGCACCACACGACACAAGCTCCCAACTACCCCTGTCGTCGCCTCCAGCCTTTCCCGCTTGAAGTTGGGCGGCTCTGACGCCTGCTTAGTGGCTCGTGCCAAGCGCTTCGCCTGCGCTGACTTGGTGATGCCTCAGCGCACCCGTCGCTGCCGACCAAGCCAGTCTGCAGTTGAAGGGCAGTCGGACAGTACCGATCCCACTTGGAGGTCTCAGGGTCTAGATGGGTCTAGGCTTCAAGCAAGTGGCTAGTGAAGTTGATGATCTCATCCACCTCCGGCTCGAGATTCATCGTGACAGTACCGAAATGGGTGCGCTGTTTGGAAATCCTCGGCCACTGCAAGTGGTAGGACCAGGGACGCAAAAACACGCCTCTCCGCCAGCCCTGGACACTGGCTGGAAACTGCATGAAAGCTGGCACTCAACTTGCCTCATGCGTTAGCTTCAGCGCTGTGCAAGCCCAACAGGAGAGAACATCAACTTTTGTTTTTCCCCTGTGGCTGCAACAAAAAGCGGCGATGTCAGCACCCAGTCAGGCTTACAGCAGTAAATCGTTCAATACAGAGTGGCTACAAATACCAGGGGCAAAGGTTCCATCTGCATATTGTGGAGGACCTCTCTGCTTGCAACTTCTCTCTATCGCCGCCAAGCTTCTCCAAGAGTGTCCTTGGGGTGTTTGGCCCTGGGGCAGATGCCTCGTCTTTCGCTTCCTCGCCTTAGCCAACAGATGGGGCCATGACCACACTACCTTCGCATCGCGTTCATCGACCCTGGCCATCTGTGGAATGAAAATCACCCCGAGCGGTGCAACAGAAAGGGACAAACGCAACTTTCAGCTCGCCTCAAATTGGTGATTTGGATTTAGGGGATTACAAGCACCAGGCTTCCAATTCCCCAACCACTAATCCAAACCACAACGTCACCTGAAGCTGTGCAGACGCAAGTTACGCCTCCTGCGTTTTTGCCAAAACCTGCGTTCCAATCCCACCTACACCTCCCTCCCCCCGAGTATCCGGCCAGGGCGCCGTGGCTTCCCCCCCGGTTCCGCGCGAAGGCCGCCTCCGCCTCGGCCGCGAGGCGCTGCACCAGGCGGGTCTTGGACTCCATCTCCTCGCCGAAAACGCAAAGAAGAGGGGGAGGAACTCATACCCCGGTTAGTTTGGCACCCTCACAGGGCCGGGCTACTAAAGCCACGGTCCTCCAACAGCTGTGGTAGGGGAGGAAGGGTGAGCCGTGTATTGCACGATTCATGACATGGTCCTTTCCCAACGACTCGCATCTAGCAGCTTAGCACCTTGGAGTAGTTAAAGGCTGTTCCTTGCAAAGTTGTGCAAATGAAAGAATCGGACAGAAAAACATGGACCCGGGGGACGGAGTCCTTTCCCAGGATCCGTTTAAATTGGGGTTGGGGGGCAGCTTGTGGACAAGGCTGGTCTGAACAGGGGCAGGCCAGGCGGCTCCTCCCATGCTTTCCGTGAGACTGTGTAGTCCAGTGGGTGGAGAACTGTAGTTCTCTGCCTCAGGTGCAAGAACTTAGTCACTTTTATCCGGCCTTGCCCTCCCTGAGCAATTGACGGGCGATCAGATCCTGAAATGTCAGTGTCCCTTTCGCAATCTCCCCCTGGTCGCCGCTAGTCATATGATCTCATTTGATAAATATGCAAAAAGTAAGCTTGCATTCAAGCTACTAACCCTTGTCGGCAGATCAGCATCACATAACCCCCCCCATCTTCCTTTCTGGGGCAGTGGCCCACGCAATAAGAAGAACAGCTTGGGGGAACCTCGCCAAGCCGCACAGTCGTGATGAAGCGCTCCCTCTCCAGGTCCAGGTGCGTGTCCTAACGGCCATGGATCAACATCGGACCTCTTAAAAGGCAAAAGCCTGAGCAAAATATGAAACCTGTCGTAGGCAACAGACCATCAAGGGCTGCAACTACTGGTAAGTATCAGGGGCTGCACACCTAACCCAACAGAACTAGCTAGGGGGTGCGCCATGGCAACGACTCAAGCAGCTGCTGGGACTCAGGGTCCGCAGAGGTTCCGCTTTGTTGTGGGGATCTCTCTTTGCTTGGTGGAAAAAGCTGCGCCCCCCCCCCCCAGTTCTCCCATTCCGGCTCCTGGACCTCGCAGGACTCCCGCTCCCGTCGCATCACTTCGTTCCTCCGCTGGCGCACGTTCTCTCCCCTGGTGGTGCGGGATGCGCCATCGTCGCCTCACAGCGCAGTCACGAACAAGAAGCCAAAGTGAGGAGGGCCAATGCGCGAGGGCTTCTCCATTCCAGGGGCCATGTCTGGGGACATAGCAACATTGTGCGTCGCAGTGAAAGCCAGGCCTAAAACTTGACGGCCATGTGCCATAGTGACAACTCGTGTGGGTGATGGTCATCAGTCAGCGAATAAGGACCCTGACTGAAATCCTGACTGGTTGCCTCCCCAAGAAACGGCATACGTGGGCAAGTTTCAGTTGCGTGGCGTGAAAAGCAAACGAAATGCTGCTTTCTGGCCTGAAACACCCTCCAGACCAAGCCGCTTGTTCTGTCGTAGTGCCGCCGGCTTCTCGCCTCTGGAAAGCTTTCTGGCTGCACAAGCTATGCTCTCCGCCGCTGTCCCTCAAGAAAGCCATGCTCTTCGGCCTGCTTGGTGAAGCGCAAGGTGCTCTTCGTCTTCAGCGTCTTCAGGGTCTCAGCGAAGCAAAGAAGGCACCCCGCCAAATCACCAAGCCGACAAAAGAAAAACGAAAACAGTCAAGCAAGCAAGCAAGCAAGCAAGCAAGCAAGCAAGCAAGCAAGCAAGCAAGCAAGCAAGCAAGCAAGCAAGCAAGCAAGCAAGCAAGCAAGCAAGCAAGCAAGCAAGCAAGCAAGCAAGCAAGCAAGCAAGCAAGCAAGCAAGCAAGCAAGCAAGCAAGCAAGCAAGCAAGCAAGCAAGCAAGCAAGCAAGCAAGCAAGCAAGCAAGCAAGCGTTGCAAGGAACGATTCGCAACTAGAAGCCTGCAGCCCAGCCACAAGCCCTGAAGACGCCGTGCCCGACACACACGAAGTGTCGCGGCCGAATTCATCGCTCTGCTTGCCAGCCACCCGAGTCCACACCTGCCGCCCCCTATCTTCAAGATCCCCGGACATTCAAATCAGGCCGCCAGGCATGCCTTGCTTCAGCTCTCACAACCTTCCCTGAAGCACGCAGCATTTGTCTCGCGCCTGAGAAATGCACTCGCCCTCGCACTGGCAGGGCAGCGACTTTTGCACGTCAGTACTGCTGCACCCCAAGTCCTCACCGCTCTGCTCAGTCCCAAAGGCATGCCATGTCCTTTATCCCAGCCTCATTCCTCACTCATTGGCTGGTAGGACATGGATAGGAGAGTGAATTGTTGACAGGAAATCCCACCTTCGCACCTCAGACACTTTCACTCCTTCCCATCCACCTTCTCCCTTCCCTGCACTGTGTTTGGGATCTCCCGAAGGTTGGATGTCAAGGAAGGAGCAGGCCATTATCTACTTCCCGTCACCCCAAGCCCAAAGCAATCAGACATGGCCTCAATGGCAGGATGCAAAAACTAAGGGCATCCAAGCCGTTGCCCCACTCCTCTAGCGTCACAAAGCCGTTGCCCCGCACATCCAGCTCGCGGAAGAGCCGGGCGGCCTTCAGTCCCGTCAGGGCCTCCACGTCTTGCCGCAGCCTGCACCCGAAGGGCCAACGGGTGAGGGGAGGGAGGACCGTTCCGCTCAAGCATGGTACAACTGTCAGAATTGTTGTAGGTGGCGAACAGCTTTCTCAAGCCATTTGTAGTCCTGAGACACGACCATGGGCATCATGAACTTCCTATGTCCTGCAAAGGGGACAGGGCACCGCCACTGACGTGTCGAGCGCAAGGATTCTCCTTCCAGCACAAATCATTTTCATAGCCAAAGGCTTCGGGACTGGCACTGCGTGGTTTCCTTATAGGGCAGTCCAAAACGCTACAAATTGCAGCATGTACAATCCTTGGCTTGCGTTGCCTCACGGTCTATGCGCGGAGGCAATGTTTGCATCTCATAATGAGGTCTGAGCAGTGTTGCCATTTCAGTGGATCTGGCTCTGTCGTTTGAGACGTTTGCGACCTGACCTTGGACAGCCAGGCTCTTGCAATCATGCGATCATGCCCTCGCATCATCCCCGTTTCGCTGGGTACTTGGTTGAGAGGTGATTCTTCAGGCGCAGGTTGACGCACCCAATGCCAGCAATCTGCCTGTCATGGCAAGTAACATAGGAATCCATAAAATTCCTCCTACCAATCGAAACATCCGCCATTTGCCGGGAGTGTGCATGGTTGTGGTGCCGCGTGCGTGTTGAGGTGTTTTACAAGCTCGTTATTGTTTCCATCCCATCTGCTTTGATGCAACGGCGGCTGATGCCGTGCCGCGTCAGCGGGAGTCAAAGTGCAGCTGGTGAACTCGGAAAGATCTCCGCACCATCCGTCCGAAAACTCTTGTCTCACTATGTCTCTCCGTCTCTCTGCGCCTCTCTGCGCCTCTTTGCGCCTGTCTGCGGCTTCCCGCCCTGTTCTGCCTCTTTCTCCCTCTCTCCGTCTCTCCATCTCTCTCTCTCTCTCTCTCGCTCTCTCTTCTCTCTCCCTCTCGCTCTCACTCTCTCACTCTCTCTCTCTCTCTCTCTCTCTCTCTCTCGCTCGCTCTGTCTCCCTATCTCTCTGCCTCTCTCCGTGTCGCTCTCATTCTGCCTCTCACTCTCTCTTTTTCTCTTTCTCTCTGTGCCTTGCAGAGCTTTCACCCCTGTGCAAAACGCCCGTGCTTGCCGGACATTACCTGCAGCCCCCCACGCCACACTCGGAGCCTGCGAAAGAAGGCTTCCAGCTGGACAGTGTTCACCTGACCATTCCTGAGGACAAAGTGCCAATCTCTCAGGATCCCTCGGTACATGAAGCGGGATGCCAAACAACGGCGGACTCTGAGCTGAGAATTGTGCAAAGATGAAAGACAAACCAGCGATTTGGAAGACACTCCATTTTGCCGAGCTTCTCTGCGCCAATGGATTGGAAAACGTTCTCAGGCGTCCTCGGCACAGCAATTCATCTCCAATGGCCCTCCCTCCAAGGGAAAAAAGTCCGGCCCCGATTTTGACATGCCCTCGCAGTGGCTCGCAATTAAGTAACCAGAGGACACGTACAGCTTCGCCAGCACGAAGATCAGCGCAGGAACACCCTCCAAACCCTGCTGCTTCAGCTCCTGGCCCCGAAGCCCTCGCCAACCCAACGCCCACCTCTCGAGAGGGGCTCCCATCCTGGACTTCCTGCTCTCCACCCTCTAAGGTTACCATTTGAATCCCTTGACTGCCGCCTTGCTGCCAGTGGAACCCATCAAGCAGCCCAGCAGACTTGTTTAAAGCGGAACTGTGGACGCAAAGATGCCGCACCTCGGTCAGGGGGTCAGCAGCTGATGCCAGGTGACTCGTGTCGGCAGCCATGTCCGCGACGGCAGTGGCCTGCCACAGCTTCCCTAGAGCTTCACTGCCACCTCCAGGCACCCTGCAATTGAAGACCTCCCCCTCAACGAAGCCTGAGCCCCTTTCCCGAACCCCGCGCTGCCGGCGTGCCTTGCGGCGCGGGGGCTTGGAGGCCAGGCCCTGGCGAAAGGCGAGAAGAGCGTAAGAGACTTCCCGACGACCAGGGCTCGCATGCAAAAAGGACAAAGGAAACTCGAATCTGAGTGTCGAGTGATTTAAAACAATCCTCGTGGGCGCCTGCCTACGTTGGTTAGAGGAAAGGCGTCCAGCCTCGAACTTGGAGAAGACCTGGTCAATGCCATCCCCATTCCCACAGCTGGCCCACAAAAATCCCTCCGTCCTGCAACCGTGTGTTTTGGTGACTCATGCTTCAATTGCTCAATGCACGTGGACTTGCGGGTGTATATTACGCATGTGTACACTGTATGTAGGTGTATACATATGCACACATCCTTGCATAGCTCTACATATATCTACATACACACACACCCAGCAAGCAATACGTGATGTGTGACCGCATGAGGATTGCCTGTGGCATGTCCGGCCGAAAGGTGCGCATCAGCCAGTGCAGCTAAGGGGCCGAACGGAAGGGCAACAGCGCCACGTGCTGCCAGCCAGCCTGGCAAAGCGCCATCCAGGCACGAATCGATCCATTCTTAGAGGACAAAACACAAGGAGGCCCTTGCCCACTAGACGTTTACACACACCACCTCGAACAAATGGGGCAACATGGCTGGGGGCAGGATCCCATATACGCTCCTACCCACGAGGGCCCAAACCTTCTGCTTTCTGGCCACACACCTCCAAGAACCTAGCGCGTCAGGTTGGTTGCTACAAATCACACTCTGCGTCAGTGCAACACAGTTAGCAGAATAGTTTAGGAGTGCTGCAAGTAGGTCTACAAATAGCCCCTCTCTAGGATCTTGGTTGCATTTTGTGTTGCCTAAGATGGTCGTCATTTTGGCAACCCTTCAAACTCCATTCAGAACAAAGGGTGGGTGCCCCAGGCAAGGACCAAGGTGTTTAGTTGCCCTGGCCCATTTCAAGCAAAGAGGCTTGGCCCCGGCCTCGTCGTGCTGGCCCGGCACCTCCGACCTGCCAGCAGCGTGAAGTTCAAATCTGAGAGAAAGCGCACATACGCGACGACATGGGTGTGGCTGCCGGGCGAGCGTGCGAACGCTGTTGCAAAGCTGTATGCAATCTCCAGGCACCAAGCTGGAATTTCATGCACTGACAAGCTTGCTGCTCCCTACTGTTACATAACCAGGTATATACCTTTGTGGCCTTTGTGTGTGTGTGTGTGCGTGTACGTTGGGGCGACTGCAGCCATGCAACACTACTGTGGGCACCCATGTCAAATTGTAGCCGTCGTGCGCCGCGGTGAGCACAAAGAAGCGCCCGCCCTCGAGCCGTGCGTCCGCTTCGCTGAAGGCCACAGCGACGCACTGCTCAATGCCTTGAGGGCACATCGCAAGGGAAAGGGCACTGAAGACACACCCAGATCGAATCCAAAGGAAGAGAAAGAGTAGATGCCGCTGATGGCGCAGCATGTGGTTGCGAAAGCGGTTCAATCAACCGTGAAAAAACAGACAGCCATGCAGAACCGCTGCAACAGCCTTATCATGACAACAAATGTGGCCAGGCACATATGAGCCATACATAAAATATGCTGCTTATCAATTGTGGACGCGGAAATTGGATAGTCATGGTGGTTCTTGTTGTGCTTTCCCAATGTCCCTTCCAAATTGACCCTGTACGAATTCCTGCTAATTTTGAAGAAACTTCAAAGACCTAAGAAGCGTAGAGCCCTTCGGCAACAACACCCACTGCTGTGCTCCAAAGGCACGCGACGCTGGAGGAACGCCCTTGCCAAAGCCAGGTGTCCGCGACTTCACCAGTCCTAGCCGAATGGCGACTAGAATGTTGATCCAAACCAACACCTTGACGTGGCTCAATCTCCGGGGGCCCCGGGTAAGCACCTAGAGCCGGGCAGGAAGAAATAAGGAGACTTTGAATACACGCAGCGGCCAACGTCCTGCTCCCATGGGCCCAGCAGCAAGGCCGCGCAGCCCACAGATTCGCACAACCCGTGGAGCTATCCTTGGCACGACCCGTTCTGCAGGCCCTGGGACCCTGCAATTGCCCCCTTTCGCCAACTTTGGGTTGATTCGTGGCTTCACCCAAATTGCCACCTTGCATTTGTGAAACGGCTCCAAACCAAGGAATCACCCTTTGCAACAACCCTGGCCCAAGGCTCCGGAATTCTGTGACTCGATCCTCCAGGTCCCTTGGCTCGTCGGTCCCGCTGTCTGTCAGGTCTCCCAATGTGTCCTTCACCGCCTGGGCGTTCGGGGCCGCTTTCCTTGAAGAAAAACTTGCCCCCGCTGACGGGGCCAGGCATGCCTCTGGAAAACACGAGGTCCCACCACGGCACCTTGTCCATCCCTACGAGAATGGTCAATGAGAAAGTGAAAAGTGAAAGACCATCCCAAACCATCCAAACGCCAAAAGCAGTTTCAGGAGCCGCTTGATTCGGCGAGTTGCTCTCCTGGCACCTCGCGCGCTGGACGTGCGCAAAAGCAGCTCATTGGGACAGGCCCTGTCGCTCACCGGCACACGCCGCTGCGAGAGCCGGCGCATGGGTCATGGCATTGGTCCAAGGAGATGGTACCCTTGTTCCAACAAGAAGCTGCCACCACTCAAGACTCACCTCGCCGTGTTCTAAGGGCACAGCGGTATACGCTTTATCACCGTGTAGTTTGGCGGGCATCAGATATTCCCTTCAAGCTCTGTGTTTCAACAAATTCCTGCAACGACGTTCCCTCAACAGCATAAAGCCGGGCTGCCATCCGGTTGCTAGCATGTCTTGTCAAACTCTCTTGACCAGGGGGACTGGTGAGTGATGCGAGTGACCTCCAAGTGTTCCCGTGGCATTCCCACCCCTCATTCTGCTTGCTCTGTCTTGAACAGAGCAAGCTGCAGCGGCAGGAAAGCTGCAAAGCCTGTGCGTCGGTCTAGCCCAAGGACCGTCGCCGTGGGCTCCTTTCTTCAAGCTCTTTTTCCCTTGCCACTTGTTCGATCTCGCCGATCGAAGCACATACGTGTCAGCGGCCCTCTTTGCCTAATGGAAGGGCGACTGCAAACAAAAGACGGGGCCAGCTCGCGCTTTGCACTAAGCTGAACTTGATCCTAGCTCACGGCACGCCACGGACTGGAGTCGGTGCAAGCATTGCTTCAAGCCACCTCGTGGAAAGACACATCCTTGGCTGATGAAGCAGACCAAGTCCATCTTGCCCTCGCGTTCTGCATTTGTCTGTTTCTGCTCTACTTTTTTCGGGTCGGACCAGCCCAAAGCGCAACATATCCCAAAAGCGCCGCATCACAGGCTGGCCTATCTGTTGACAAGGGTAAGGCAGACACGCCAATGAAATGCAGCCGCGCAGCATATCTCCGATTTTCCTCATCGAAGTCCACCTGCACCATGCCCTGCGTGCTCATTGCCCGAGACTCCTGTCCGCGCCATCCAGCTGAACATGCTGGCTTGCTTGGACCACACCACCTCCAGTCCTTCGCTGCAGCCACGAACTCGCGAGCCAAAGCTGCCAGCTCAGCATCCTGGTTGATGTGCGAGCTGACACCGAGCCCCCGCCACGAATGGCAATTGGATTCCAATGATGCCAGGTATGTTGGGTGACCACCCCTCCTAGCGCGGCATGGCCTGATCCTTTCATATCCTTTCGTCCCAAGCCCCACCCCCTCAATAGCCGACGTCCCCGAATGCCCTCTCCCCAGCCTTGGACTCTTGGCAGGCCGCCTGGGGAAACCGGCATTGCCCAACAAGGCCCCACGAGCCACAAGTAAGAAGCCGCAGCCCAGCCTGCTCCAGGGACTTGTACAAGTTGCGGGCATGAAGATCGCGCAGGCCCTGCTCAGGGCAGGATGGGTAGTTTCAGTGTTCAGCAGCCTGCCTGTTTGAGGACAGGATGAAACTCACCAGCAAGAATCTCCCCTTTGTCGAACCATCGCAGATCCCAGTATTCCTGCGGATGGCTTACTGCACCTCCTGCGTCTGACTGCTTTCGACTGGACAATCACATGACGCCGCGACTTCGTCTGGCCTTGTCGTCCACCTTGATAGCAGCTTCCTGCAAGGGCCGGGTGTTGGTGCACGATGCCAAAAGGACTGGCTGCAGTAATCAGAGCATCGTCCTCCTCCGGTTGCAAAACCAACTGGTGCAAAGCGGAAATATCCTCAGCTGTGGGTGGACTACCCAAACGTTGCCCCAAGAAGTCGAGCCCGTGGCCGCGGTGCCATGATCTGCTGGCGCCTGGGCAAGTCACAGCCCAGAAGCCCAAGGATAGCCTTTACTCTGCCTGCACTCGCATCGCCCAAGTCATCGAGTAGCAACCAATGACCTGCCAAGCCCGACCGAGCTCACGCCACCCACCTCTCCTTGCATGTGTTTGCACGCACTTGTCCCCCCATGCCCGGGAAGAACGGTCGCATTTTCGACTCGCTTGGAAGGCAAAGCTCAATTGGGGATCAGTTTGCGGATGATCCCCTTGACTTTCGGAAGCGGCCGCTTCCTGTTGGGGTTCCGAGGGTATGGCGCAGCCCCACGCTTCATCTTCACATCCAGCCGCACGCTGAACTCTCGGGGTCTCAGAAAGTCCCGCCACTGCGAGAAGATCTCCGCCGGCCGGACAACCTCCACGCGGGTCAGAGCACCCAGCAGGCCGCCCAGTATCATTCGGTTGACGCCCGTGTGGGAGGCAATGAGGCCCTCAAGGCCCCCGAGGCCCCTGGAAACCAGCGCACGCCAGCCTGGCAGCGCAGCCCAGAGCGGAAAGGCCGCCCGGCAGGCGACGGCCATGGCTCGCAGCCAGCAAGCAGGCGAAGCAAGGCTCAGGCTCAAGCGTCTCGAGCCCTGCCAATGAAACTTCTGGGTCAAGGGCGCACCTATAAAGAAGATGTCCGGGTCCCAGCCACTGAAGCGTAAAACAAGCTTTGATACGGCCTGTGTACAACATCTGCCTGCTACACATGCTACAGGCTCCGGCTGTGTTGGACCCATCCACCGCCGCTTCCAGCCTCAAACCTCGAGACTGGCAAGTTCAGCCCCAGCTCCCGCCGAACGTTCCGCGCAGCAGCCTTGGCTGAGGCACTGGCACTGTCTGGAAACTCTTAACGAGCCGCCAAACCGCCAAACCGCTATGCCCCGCCTGCACGGGCGATTCGCCTGGCCGGCTTCTGCCACCCATGAGCCACCTAGCCGCTCAAACCGGTCCACACGTTGCCGGTGACAAACGAAGGAAAGCCACCAAAGCTGCAACACTGTTGGGCAAAGGCCTTTGCCATGCCGGGGCCAGCGCCAGTCGGGCTGGGGATGCACCTCTGACTAGCACCATGCGAACAGCGCAAGCGTCAGCTGTGTGGCCCGCGCCTTCCGCCGCCCAAGGAAGACACGAGACCTATCACAAGAGGTGATGAGGACATCTGACCTGAAAGGCCAAGGCCAAGTGGGTAGGCAGACGACAGCTGTAGCAAACGTGAGCAGTGATCGAATCGATTGAACCAGCCCTAACACCCAAGAACAGAGCCGACTGCCCCGCCAGGACGCTCTGAGTTGTGGCCAGCAGCAAAGCCCTGGCTCTGGGCACCCCGGCACGGCCTTCACCAGCGTATCCAAAGCCCGCCCATATTCGGCGTCCTCCGCTTCAACTGTTCTCACGCGGGTCCCGCTAACATGCAGGTCCACTCCCCAACTGCCCGCTCCTCCAGGAACAAGTGGTGAGGTTTGAAGTTGCCCGTGACAAAGTGGGGCACTTGCTGCATTGCTTGCTAGTGTGAGGTGTCCGTCTCTGCTGTGCTGTATGGGTGAAGCACGGGGGGGCCCAGAACTGCCCCCGTTGACTGACACAACGTTTTCGACATTTCCAGGGTCACCTAGATTTCCGGTTGCTCGACGCGTGCCATTGTCTCCAGAGCTTGCCTGAATGCCAGGGTACCTCTGCATTCTTACCTCACAGGCTCTGAAATTACCTCGAACAAGGGCCCGAGCAACAACAAAAAATGGCTGGGCCCATAAAAACATGTTCTTTCACTGGCGCAGCTTCTGGGCCAGTGGCAGCTCAATTTTGCCTCCGCAGCTCACACATCCAGCGCATTCATTACCATGCTCCTTTTTTCCCCTGGAGAACCTGCATGTGAGGCCGCACCAGTCTGAACTTGCACGGGCAGCGCGGTGCTACCACACAGTGCTTGCAAAGGCTAACTGATCATTCTGGAATTTCAGGCTTCAGAAACTCTCTGCCGGCCCTACGGGCTCATAGCTGTGCATTGTCAGCTTCCCAGCTCTCATGCACCTCGCCTCGAAACTCGCAACCGGCACAATGCAAGAACCCGCCATCATTGCACAAGGGGTCCCGGCAATGGGGATTCTTGGATGCTCAACGGGTCCAAGACAAGTTGGCTATGGCCCAAGCAACGCCACTGCACAAGCAGCACCGAGAGCCCGCCTGTCCAGCTCACTTTGCGCCCATCTTCGCCTTCGACTTCTCGGTTTGGAGGGGCTTGAAGACAAACTCTACCAAAGATTCCTCGCTCTCGAGCGCACAGGGGCTACTTGACAGCAAACTGACAGGGAATGGCACCCAGCTGGCACATTCAACAAAAAATCCCGCAATGGCCATGTCCCATGCATCATGCTCTTCTTCGCAGAAGACAGAAGGCCAAGGCGCCCTGATCGGCAACATGTTCGGGAACTCCTGCCAGAGGAGAGCTAGACACCCCGCGCTTATTGGTTTGCAGTGCGGAGATGCCCCTCCATAGCGTAACAGTTTGTTCTCACATCTTGCACAAACACAACAAAGCCACGAGGCGAATGGCGCCTTCCACATCTTGTGCGGGCTGAGCTCGTTGTTGGAACGTGCAGCGGTGATGACCTTGGCCTGTTCCTCAATGGTGAAGTTTGCCCACTTGAAGTCCGGGTCGATGTAATCCTTTGCAGGTGCGGCTGATGAAAAGCCATGCCTCTGCCCGCAGGTAGGCCACACAAAAATCGCATGTGCCAAGTGTCCCTGTACAGCTCCAGCACCTGATTGTGGCTAATAGCGCCGGGATTGCAGAAGTTGTAGATCCCATCCTCGCAAACAAAAGGTCCCAGGCATCAACGGCTTGCATCCCCTACGGCAGCCGTCGCGACACGACCAGGGCCGTCACCAGCCGGCGCAGCGCCATCTCGATGGCGTAGGGCAGCAGCTCTGGGAGAACTGTCATGCTGTTGGGGATGTTGACAACCTGCGAACAGAAGCCATCCTTTGCCTCTCTTCAGATTCTTGACCTTTGCACCAGCAACACTGCAAAAAAGCGGCAGCTAAGTCAGCTAAGTTGTTGTGCGCTAGCCCAGATGAGTCACCAATTGGTAACAACGCGCGGGCAAGTAAAAAGTCAGCGACCCACTGACGGCATGTGCCGTTCAAATGTGACCTGCTAGACCATCGGGATCAACCTTTGGAATTGTGAGATGAGATGAGCCTTTGGCATCTCCACCCCAGCTCTACCCACATTCCGGGCCTCATCCTTGCCGGGCCCGCAGAAACTCATGACTCTTGTGGAATCCTCCCTGAAAAAGGGGCGGGTTAGCAGGGGGGCCCTCCCCACTCAAACTTGCCTTAGCTGCGATAGCCGGGACGGCCCGCCTTGTTGTAGTGAGCGATCTTGTAGATGAAGTTCCGCTTGTTGCACAGGATGTCCCCGTCGATGGGCATCCGCACCCGCAGCGTCAGCACGTTGGTGAACTCCCGCAGCATGTTCTCCACGTACCCCTGGTGGCCCGGCAAGGTCCGGCAAGGTCCGGCAAGGGTTGCTTTCCACGGTTTCAAGCCTTGAGTTCCCAGCCGGCCTTGGTCTCGGAATAGAAGGAGCCCGTGAAATTGGGCCTGTCCTCCTCGCCTCAAACAAGGAGAATCTAGGCTGGCCCCTTTCGGGCCACAAAATAGTCGTCAAACCGCTTCAAAATGATGGACCGAAACAATTGAGTAGTTTCCCTTTGGCTTCCCTAGAAAACATCCCCCAAGGGTACCCAAGAGAAAGACACCCCCCAACAGAAAGACGAACGGGCCACCGTCAACTGCAACCAGCCATAGGCGCTGAAAGTGAGGTTCGCATCCTTGGCAACCAAGTTCGATTCCCGCTCCACCTTCTCGGGCTTCCTCTCGTCGTAATGGAAGATGCAGCCTCCAAAGCTGCCGGGGGAGTGCCGTTGAGCTCAAGGCGAGTCCGAACAGTACCAACGAAGCCTGGTTGGACCTGCAGATTCTGCTGGCCCTCTGCAAGGGTCCGATGGCAGGACATCAAACTCTGCCTGCTAGCGATGAATTCCACCAAGAGCACCCAAAATGACCGGCCTGTGGCAAAATTGGTCATGTGGATTCCATGGATGGAGCACAGGTCTGCCAGAGTCAAAGTACCCATGACGTTGACCCGGATGGTCTCCTACAAACATTTCACACGTGATGGCAACGTGCAGCCGCCCTCTCTGCAACCTGGCTGAACCAGCACCTGGGCAACACCGTCAAAAAGCCATCCCTCCTGCCGGTGCGTCTCGCACCAATCCACGTTTGGCCGACCAGTTAGCCCAGCAGCATTCATCCTCAGTCGTGCAAGTTTCTACTAGAGGTGAAGTTGCAGGCCAAGCAAAAGCACGTGTTTCTGATCTGAGAAAGCACGTTTCCAGCATTCAGTTTGACATGCTGGGTCCGAACAACCAACTTCACCCAAACCAGCCCTGGAACTTGGGAACACATCCTGCCAGATCCCAAAACACAACCTGCAGCCCACCAATGGCAGGTGAGGAGAAGGTCACTTTGCCACTCACAGCTGGGCTCTTGCTTGGGGAAACGCCCGGCTGGCTCATGCTGCACCACCACCCCGCGCCGAGCAAACGCATACAGCCAAGCGGCACGTGGGTGCAGCCGCTGTGCAGCAGCTCCCGCTCCACGCTCTCCCTGTCCTGCAGCCGGGAGTTGGCCCACCTCGGAGTGTGTAGGTTGGGGGTAGGCTGCCTGACACGCTGCTACCGATGCAGAACATCTCAACAAAAGGAGGGCTCAAAGATCTGAGCGAGCCGCTCCCAGGAGAAGCCCTTCTGGGTCAGCAGGTTGGCGATCATCCCCCCAATCCAGCCTGTCCTCGGCAGAATTGCTGCTTGAGGCCGCACAATATGCGAGCCTTGGAATTCAACCGGCCTTCCAAAGACCAGGAACTTCACCTTCTTCGCCTGGACCAAGATTTTGCAAGGTTCTGCACCAAACTCACTCAAGCGAGTAGACTCATAATTGATGTATGCATAGCGTATAGTGCGACCAGCCTTCTTCGCTGGGGGCTCAAGTGCCTGCAGCGAGGCCCAGGCCAGCCAAATGCGTGGCAACAAAACAAGCCGGCCATCTTGCCTACCTCCCATACTGATAAACCCAGGCCACCTTCAGCCCCCCCCCAAACACCCATCCCCTCAAACCGCCTTGGTGGTGGCGTCCACCACCAGCGGGGGCTCAATGGCCAGCATGGGCACGGGGTGCGCCACGAGCACCGAGTCCAGGTCCGAGGAGGCCCAAAAGCTGCTGCCGTGCACGGTGAACCAATCCACCGTCTGTTTCAGGCCCTCTTCGAACTTCACGGTCTCCTGAGCTCTGCGGGGGTGTCTGTGGTGTCTGTGTTTGTCTGTCTGGCTTTGGCAAGAGCTTCTGCTCCAACCGCACCCAACTTTGTTGCATTCAAGCCTGATGACCCGGCATGTGCAAATCCAATCGCCATGCCTATTGGAACCACAAAGAAGCATCTGGGTTTGCCGTCCGCGTCCTTCCAGCCCAGGCTTTCCAGCTGGCGGAGGTCCAGGAAGTAGCGCATGTCGTTGAAGGGCCGGTTGCGCACGTGCTCAATCATCTTCTCGGGGTCCACATCGGGCTTCAGCATCTTGATGATCTGCCTCACCTCACATCATACATGCTGCACACAACGCCCAGATGGGCCGCTAACAAGAGCCACCAATGCCAAGGCACAATGGAAATCACAGAGTGCTCCTCTGAGGTTCCGATGTTGTAAGTGCTGCCTTGCCGCACGGTCAGAAATCGGTTTTGTGCTCCGTGCAGTTGACAGAAGAGTGTGCGGACAAGCTGCTTTCCTTGAACTCGGCTGGGAAGGGCTTGGACTTCAAAACGCAAGCCCCAGCGGCCCAAGAAAAACAGTCTGCCAAATATATAAAGCCATCACGAGCTTCTGCCAAACAAAATGTGCAATGTGCAACTTCTAAATGTGCGTCGAAAGTCAGTCCGTCTGTCTTGAGAGCTTCGTACCAACAACGAAACCCAGGTTTCCTGATTTCCCCGAATAGTTGTCGATATGTTTGGATTTGCCACAGCCTTGTTGCTTCAAAGGTGGCGTGAAAGCCGCTTGCTTTCACGTGCGCTCCGAGATGGCACAACACTCGCTTTTCAAGCTCAGAAACCACATTCAACTGTATTCATGGGACGTGTCCAGGGATCAGTAAAAACACCACGAATGGCAATGAAAGTGTGAAAGTCAAACCGCTGAGCGTGCCAAGCTGGAAGTCTTGAGGTTGGATTGGGCAAGGTCGCACGAACGAAGCCTTCCCTGTGCGGACCCGGCAACAAAACGTGAGCCTGCCGGCCACTGAGACTGGCCCCAAACAGAAACCAACACTTGCCGATTCTCGGTTGGGAATGAAGGAAGGATTCCTACGTTCCCAAAAACCCCGGGGATCCCCTTTCCCTTCTGAGAACGGGTTAGGCGTTTCACTGATTTGCAGAAACATGCGCCGCTGGCCTGTGACACCCTTGTGCAAAACGATGTCGAAAGCTGCCGCCACATCCTTCACGTGCAAGTAGGAGCGCTTGCTGGCACCATCCCCATGGACGGTAAGCTTCTTGTTCCTGGCCCAGGAGCGAATTAAAGTAACGAGGCTAGGAGACACCAAAAGTATCTCATCTATCTGCCGAGCACATCACTCAACACACATGGCAGGGCTTGTCGCCTCTGCAGCATCATGATCATCTTTGGGATCAGCTTCTCTGGAAACTGCCGTGGCCCATACACGTTGTTGCCACCTGGGCTGCGACCCAATGCTTCTCTGAGGGCGCTTGAAATGAGACAAAAAGCTAGAGGACGATTGGCCCGAAAGCATTTTTCCACAGGCGCTCATCCAGCCGCGGAGACACCTTTTTACATCGCTGCGGCGAGCGTGTCTGCGCGCGGCGATGCTCAGTGTGTATGGTCACATGAGAGCTCCATCTCATCATCCTACTTTCCTCTCGAACTGTGCCGCGCGATTTCTCACAAAAGTGGTCTGCGCTGCATTGTTCCAGGCTGCTGCGCGCAAGTTGCTCTCTGCAAGCTGCTGCACGCTGCTGCACGCAAGCGCTCTATGCAAGTTGCTCTGCGCAAGTGCTCTGCGCCAGTTGCTCCGCGCAAGCGCTTTGCGCATGTGCTCTGTGCAAGTTGCTCTGCGCAAGTTGCTCCGCGCCAGTCGCTCCGTGCAAGCGCTTTGCGCATGTGCTCTGTGCAAGTTGCTCTGCGCAAGTGCTCTGAGCAAGTTGCTCTGCGCAAGTGCTCTGCGCCAGTGGCTCCGTGCAAGCGCTTTGCGCATGTGCTCTGTGCAAGTTGGTCTGTGCAAGTTGCTCTGCGCAAGTGCTTTGTGCAATTGCTCTGTGCAAGTTGCTCTTCGCAAGTTGCTCTGCGCAAGTGACTCTGCGCAAGTTGCTCTGCGCAAGTGCTGCCGGAGCTGTGGGAATGTACTTCGCATACTATTTTTGTACTTAAAAGTTGCGATTTTCCAGCCGGAGCTGCAGGAGCACGCTCCGCGTACTACGTTTGTACTTAAAAGCTGCGATTTTCAAGCCGGAGCTGCGGCGGACCAGGGGGGAATCGAACCCGCGACCGCGGGATTGCGAAAGCAGGCGCGCGAGCCACGAGACAACTTCCAAAGGCCATTTCGCGAGCAACAAATTCGCACGGCGCCACAGCGAGAGCGCTTCGACACGCACGATCCCCGCAGCGGGTCGCGCGCGGCTTGCAGAAATCGTAAAAAGTCCACAGTTTTTGAACCTCGACCACGCGAATCTCCGCAGAGGGTCGCGCGCGGCCAGCAGACATCGTAAGAAGTCCCCAGTTTTTGAACCTCGACCACGCGAATCTCCGCAGAGGGTCGCGCGCGCACCGCAGAAATCGTAAAAAGTTCCCAGTTTTTGAACCTCGACCATGCGAATCTCCGCAGAGGGCTCCTGTTCGGGCCAATCGTCCTCTAGCATTTTTCCACAGGCGCTCATCCAGCCGCGGAGACACCTTTTTACATCGCTGCGGCGAGCGTGTCTGCGCGCGGCGATGCTCAGTGTGTGTGGTCAAATGAGAGCTCAATCTCATCATCCTACTTTCCTCTCGAACTGCGCCGCGCGATTTCTCACGAAAGTGGTCTGCGCAAGCTGCATTGTTCCAGGCTGCTGCGCGCAAGTTGCTCTCTGCAAGCTGCTGCACGCTGCTGCACGCAAGTGCTCTGTGCAAGTTGCTCTGCGCAAGTGCTCTGAGCAAGTTGCTCTGCGCAAGTAGAGCTTGCGTAGAGCTTCGGCGTTAGCAGCTATGTAAGTTAGTTTAGGTTTCTACCGCGCCGGGGCGGGAGTTTGATCGTCGCTCGGGATTGCGACCCTCTGCGGAGATTCGCGTGGTCGAGGTCAAAAAACTGTGGACTTTTTACGATTTCTGCGGTGCGCGCGCGACCCTGTGCGGAGATTCGCGTGGTCGAGGTTAAAAAGCTGTGGACTTTTTACGATTTCTGCGGTGCGCGCGCGACCCTCTGCGGAGATTCGCGTGGTCGAGGTTCAAAAACTGTGGACTTTTTACGATTTCTGCTGGCCGCGCGCGACCCTCTGCGGAGATTCACGTGGTCGAGGTTCAAAAACTGTGGACTTTTTACGATTTACCTGGCTCTGTGTCACTTGGCTCTGTGCCACTTGGCTCTATGTAACTTGGCTCTATGTAACTTGGCTCTATGTAACTTGGCTCTATGTAACTTGGCTCTATGTAACTTGGCTCTATGTAACTTGGCTCTATGTAACTTGGCTCTATGTAACTTGGCTCTATGTAACTTGGCTCTATGTAACTTGGCTCTATGTAACTTGGCTCTGTAACTTGGCTCTGTAACTTGGCTCTATGTAACTTGGCTCTATGTAACTTGGCTCTATGTAACTTGGCTCTATGTAACTTGGCTCTATGTAACTTGGCTCTGTGCAACTTGGCTCTGTGCAACTTGGCTCTGTGTAACTTGTCCAAGGGCTCCGCACGGAAGAACCCTTCGCGATGCTTTCGGGAAAAAAAACAGCAATTGCAAAAGCCATCTGAAGTGAAGTTCCAGCATGCTGTCAGCACTTGCCACTGAGACAAGTTTATCCTTTCCTCCGAGCAGCGGGTCACCACAACTGGAAGGTTGTAGGACCGATGATAGGACTTGACCTTACACCAGGTGCCGCGCCGGCTGAGTTTCAATCCCCGTTCGCCAACAGGGCAAGAACAAAGCCAAGATGAAGGTGGCAAGCCTTCCCACTACGAAATTTGGAACAATGCAAAACATGCGTGGAACATGGCTGCGTGCTTGCAACATGCCGTGAGGCATCACAGCAGCTGACCCTCCAAGCGCATGCCAAAGAGCCATCATCTCTGCAGCTGCTTTGGATGCGGCATACGGGTTGGTGGGATCCAGCGGCGATGTCGCCTCAACCTGACTGTCTTTGGGTTGCTCCTTGCCCCCTCCTTGGCCCAACTTCATCCTTTGTGACTAACCCTTGCTCAATCAAACACCGCGGTCCGACCACGCTATCTTCCACCAGCAGCCCACGCACATGTCCTTGCGATCCCGCCTTCATGTCGCCAGCATCGGAGTAGCTGGAGTTCTCGCCGTAGACCTGCAGTACCGTGCTGAGCATGGACGCTCACAAAGCCTCAGGGAGGGCCTCATCGGTGCTCACGTGAATGTACCGCTTCACTTGCTTCTTGTTCTCCTTCAGCACTTCCAGGATTCCTCAGATGCACCAACGTGCATTGCAGCCGTCCTCACGAGGGCCGCCGACCCAACGTGACATGCTGGATGCACCAAAAGCCACATCACAAAAATGGCTTGCTGGCTGGCGACTGTGAGTGCCGAGCACGTTGTCATCGGTGAAGGTCACAGAGTTGCCGAAGGACAAGTCTACGTGAGTTTGAGCTGCAAAGTGCATGACGGTGTCGATCTCCTGGCAGGTGCATCGGACAAGAACCGCCAGGAGCCTGCAACGGCATCCCTGATTTGGAACATCATGTATATGCCTTCTGCAACGGAAGGCCCTCTGTTGGCGCTTCGAATTGACATTGACACTTTGGGGTGGAGGGACTGGTCCCATGACCCCTCCTCTTGCTGGATGATGTACTGCAAAAGGTCTGGACTCTTGATATCTCCCTTCACGAACTTAAAATTGGGTTTCCCCATCATGGATTCAAAGTTCTTGGTGTTGGAGCAGTAGTCCAGGCGGTCCAGGATCACGATCCTTAAATGCACACAAGCTTAGTCGCTACATGTTGCCACAATCCTGATCTGTGTGACTCGGTTGGCCAAAACAAATGAAGCAAACTTGTCAAACAAAATCCGAAGTCTCTTGTACTTTGGGTACTTGAAGAACAAGTGCTCGGCCACATGACTCGCAATGAAGCCAGCGCCGCCAGTGATGAGGATGTTGAGAGGCAAATACTCTCCAGGGGCAGCCATCTGCCTTGGCTTCGCTACTCCTGCCACCTCCAGCCCTGTGCTCAGGATCAGCAGAACAACCAGCCAGCCGAGCAGCAAAACAGGCCAGGTGTCGACCCTCCGATGGGTTTCAAGCCAACTGCTGCACAGGCCGCGCGCTCAAGACCAGCAATGTAGCAGGCCGGGTCAAGAAAAGATGGACCAGCCCACGATACAACCCCTTGGGGCCAAGGTCTGCAAGCCATAAAGGACGGATAGGCCCGGATAGGTGTTGAATGAAAGGGCCCCCGCAAGAATATCCGCAAGAGCCTTTCCAGATTTCTTACACCAACGAAAGGCCATACAAGGCGATTCAATGCACTGCGGCCCGTGCTCCCAGTGCGACCTGATGACCGGTTCGGTAGCCGCATGGGCGATTCCTTGGCAGCGCCAAGAGCTGGTCCCTCCTGGTAGCGTTCCGTCTTGACAACACACAGTTGATATGCGCTCACCGCGCTTGACACGACCTGAGGGGCTGACACCTCTTTGCGGTGACTCCCCTCTTTGCCTGACAGCTTTGACAGCCCCACTCGGCTCCATCAAGCTGTGTCCCGAGGCCCCCACGGGTACCGGTCGGCAGGCGAGGTCTTTGGCGAAGGCCTCGGCAAAACACTTCCATGCGCGGCTGGCATGGCATCATGTCAGCCTTGTCGGTTCCCACATCGCTGTCTGCAAGCCAAGAATTGTATGCATTTGGGGGGGGGTTGCTTAAGATAAAGGTGCCTGAAAACTTCCTTTTCAACGGCCAACTGCTGGGAGTACGTAGGAAACCTTTGCGTCGCCACCAACAGCAAGAAACCAAAAGCACACAATGAAATTATTTGTTGTCCGTGTTCGTTGTCTGTGCAGTCCTTTCGTGTTCCTTTGGCCAGCGATTCAGGACCACCCTTTACATAATCTGAAACTTGCACTTTAGAACGGCCCCCATCGACGTTTTCGTCCTTTGCATCCTGCTTCGAAGGGAAAAAAGTGATTCCCGCCGAGGCAAACAGGTGCTAGATCTAGTCCAACCATGGGGCCATGGGGTGCCAAGAACGGCATAGAGCGCGCAGGTCTCAGCGGAGAAACTCATGTTTCCGAATGTTTCCGAAAGCCTAACTTTCTCCCCGCTGCCGAGGGCCATACTCGCGCGAGCCTGCCCGGCTCCCTGGTCATCAAAGGCATCTCTCGCTTTGCTTGAGAATCCACGTGTTGGGATAGCTCCGTCTGCTTCGGTTTCCTCTTGCTCTCGAAACCAGCTTTTAGCTTGTTAGTCCCACTTTTTGATCAGCGCACACAGCTAAGCATGCTCGGCAGATTCAACACAGGCTCCAGAGCTTGCGCACCTACGCTGTCGTCTCGGCGCCGCCCTGGCGCACCTCCGCAACGCGATTCCCACGATTTGGCCGAGCCGGCACGGACAAGTCCACCTCAAACCCAAGGAGCTACCCGCCTGTCAGCGAGTCTCGAATGTGGTTTGTGGGGCCTCTCTGCGGCATTTGCGCCTTGCCGAAGCGGAGCGCGCCACCCCTCACATCCGAACTCTCGCACTTCGAAGCCCTTAAAAGATTGGCTTGGATGGCACGAGCAAGAGCTCACACAAGCCCACAACAACATTTCCCGAGCACACAAATCAACTCCTGCCAATGGCCTGTGCTGCCGGTGCTGCCCATGTGTTGGCCATGGAGCCGGGGCCCTTGCGCGGCTCCCTCTCTGGGGCATGCTGCTTTCACAGCGGGTTAACACCCCAGACATCCCCTGACTTGAGAACTATCAAGGCCGTTGTGCCAAATAGCCTAAGTGACCAATTCCGATGCATCGCCCCTCCTGGAAGGCGAGCCGCGAAGCTGGCACCTCGGCTTTCTGACATTCTTCCACATCTCACCCCTTCACCCCTGCCTCCCGGTACGGACTGTCACGAGCCCCGGCACCCTGCGGCAGGTAGCCACCGCCTGTCCACTTGCGGAGGGAAGTGGCTTTTGGGCTGAACCCGAGGCAGCCCACAAACACTGAGACGCGCACAGGTTGCCGCCAGCCTGGGTCAACGCCACTATAATTTTGGGCATCTGGCAAGTGCAAAGCTGAGAAGCTGCTGTTTGCACGCCAAAGCTTAGACAACCAGGCGCCATGCCTTGAAACATGTTGCCAAGGTCCGAGGTTCTGGCCCGTTGTGCCCAGCATGCCCATTGTGCCCATTCTGCCCATTCTGCCCAAGGCTGGGGCTCGCAGCCTTATGCTTGTGCACAGAGTACTGAAAAATCATGGCGCCAACCTTTGCTCAGCTATCGGCCGAAGGAGGCGGAGGCAGGGGCGGCGCCGGCTCATCCTTCGATGCAGTACAGAAACCGGGACCCCTCAAAGTGGCGATGACACAAGCTCGAACAGAAGCATATCCAAGGTTAAAACATTGGGCCCAGCGCCCCGTGGCAGGAAGCCAAAGTACAACCCCTCGTTTCGTGAAAGGCCTCCGCCCAGGCCATGTGCACTGGCGGCGGCCCCGGCGGCCCCGGCCCGTTGCTTTCCGGGGCCTGACAAGCCACATCTGCCGGCTGGGTGCTGGGGGAGGCTTGTCATCAAGACCTCCAGGCTCCCCTCCCCAATGCGCTGGCAAGATGACCGTCAAGAGGGCTACCAATCTGGGAGTGACATGAAAGACTCCGCTGCTCCAAAGAAAGCTCCTTCTCCCGAGCCAATGTGGTCTTTTCGGAGGAAGCGCACCTCCAGGCTTCTACTCCAACACTTTGGTCGGTGCATGTGCCTGTGCTACGGAGCGGCTTTGCGCTCCCAAAAAAGGCATCCCTCGCAACTGCAAAAGGAGGCCGAGAGAGTCGAAGAATCTTCCGAAGGTGGTGGCCGAAGCATCACTGATTGTGACTGCTTGGCAGGCATTACCGTTCTAGTCCGACCCGCGCATTTCATGCGCTTGGCCAACATTCATTAACGTACTTTTGGCCGATGGGAGCTCACCACTCCTCAGGGGTGTAGTCTGCTCAAAACTGGCAAGCAGCAACAGTCCTCATCACCCGTTATGACCCACCTTGTGCTAGCCACACATTCACTCACTGAGTCACTCACTGCACGAGTACCGAAAAGAACAGATTCAGCCAGCCAAACTGTCGATCGCAATACCTTGCAAGGCTCCAAACACGTCCCATCTTGCTCAATTATTATAGTCAGAGACAGTCAGGCAGCAACTACCCCGCTCCTTCGGCAGCCAAGGTCCTGCCGACAGTCCCTGCCACTGTCAACCAGCTCCGCCACTACGCGCTGACTCCTGAGCCGACACAAGTGCGCCAAGCCCAAATGTGATGAACCGAGCGCAAAGTACGCCCCCCGTGCGGTGTTGGTGCTCACCTATGCCCAGTGATCGCGTCTCTGCTCCTGCTGGGATTCGCCCTGCGGTCGCGGCGTTTGCCGATCTGCCAGGCCTCCTGGCATACGACAACAGCCGCACGCCCCGTGCAGTTTCCCGTGCTGGCCAGCATCCAGGCGTTCAAAGCCCTCACCCCACCTGCCTGCGCTGTTCTGGCGCACCTGCTCCATCAAACGCTCCTTGACGCCAGCCAAAGAACAAAAGCCCAGGCAACATTGCCAACAACAATGAAGCTGCTCATGGAATTCACATGTGGGGTTCCGTAGAAAGCAATGTTGACTCTGCATCAGGACATTTCATCTGAACGCGGGCGGAGAAACCAAGGTCTCTTGAAGCCGCCCATGGCCCTGGTTCATGTGAGACCTGAGCTTCTCTTGCTGGGGGGCACGCACAAAGGGTGCTTGCTGGCGGCAAGGATGAAGGGTGCGCGTCACCCTATGCACTTTCCAGCCCAACTATCCAGGCTCAACCCTAAAAATATCCCCCTGCCGGTTTCCTAGATGATCCTTGCCACCGCCCGAAGAGGTAACCCTTGGTCGTCTTGGGCCCCCCACTCCAAGGCATAGATACGATCTTCGATGGCCGTCAGCTGACCAGCCTGCAGGGCAACAAGAATATGCCCTGTTGGAGCTTTCCGCAAAGCGCTGATCAATTCGATCATTCAACGATGATTTTTGCGGAGCTCCCTTGCCAATTGGCAACACCTGGAACTGCCTGCTACTTGTCCCCAACCATGCTTCAAGGGCATCAGCAAATCATACGTTGGTAGCCCAATCGTGCTTGCCTAGTAGATTGTATTTTGGATTTGCAGAACTCAGGACCCATCACAGCTGCAACGAGCACGTGTCCTGCTCGGAGAGTGCAAGGGAAGTATGCCGGCTCTCCCGCTTCACCGCCTTCCTTGCAACCAGGGCGATGCATTAAATTGCTTCAGGTCAAGCCTTATCTAACACACATACGCCACCTCATGTCAAGCCCAATTTGGTTCAACATTCTTTCATACATCGCTCCTGATGCACAAAGTGTGCGAAAGCAGGATTCATGTCTTTATCACCAGCATTGCATGCCTGAGGCCAACTCTAAATCCTTTCTTCTGGACGCAGTTGGGTGGGGGGGTGTTTGATTCCCCCGGGTCCGTTGCATCCTTAGCATCTCCTGGGAAACATCGCCTGAAACACCTGCATCATCCGCATCAGCGCCTGCCAAGGATGTGGATGATGCAAGTAATGCTGGGGATGTTGCCCATGCTGGCGAAGGAAAATGCATGGAAATGAATGACATGAAGTGAAATGAAAGAAAAGGAGCAAACAAAGACATACAGGGACATGAGCCGAAGTGAAGGAAAGCAAAGGGAAATGAAGATCTTCGAGGGAAAGGGGGGAAAAAGGAACTGAAGATTGGAGGGTGGGAGGGGAAAGGGAAAGATCTCAGGGGGGGAGAGTGTCGGAGAGATCTTAGGCCTTGGGGGGAAAGGGGGGGAAAGGATCCCAACCGGGAAAGGGGGAAAACATCCTAGCGAGGAAAAGGGAGAAGATCTCAGGGAAGGAAAGGCCTCAGGCGGAAAGGGGGGAAAGGATCCCAACAGAGAAAGGTGGCAAAAGATCTTGGGAGGAAAAGGAAGAAGGTCTCAGGGCGGGAAAGGCCTCAGGGGGGAAAGGGGGGAAAGAATCTCAACAGGGAAAGGGGGGGAAAGATCTTAGCGAGGAAAGAGAAGAACCCCTGAGATCTTTTCCCTTTTCCTCCCTAAGATCTTCTCCCACCTTTCCTTTTTGTAGAGACTTTCCCGCCTTTCCCCCCCCCCCTAAGGCCTTTCCCTTCTGAGATCTTCTCCCTTTTCCTCCCTACGATCTTTCCCCTCTTTCCCGGTTGAGATCCTTTCCCCGCTTTCCCCCCTTAAGGCCTTCCCCCCCCTCCCCTCCCCAGATCGGGAAAGGCCTTAGGGGGGAAAGGGGGAAAGGATCTCAACAGGGAAAGGGGGGAAAAGATCTTAAACGGAGAAGATCGGAAGAGGCCTTAGGGGGGAAAGGGGGGGAAAGGATCTCAACAGGAAAAGGGAGAAAAGATCTTGAAGAAAAGGGAGGGGGAGGCCTTAGGGGGGAAAGGGGGGAAAGGATCTCAACAGGGAAAGGGGGGAAAAGATCTTAGGGAGGAAAAGGGAGAAGACCTCAGGGGGGAAAGGCCTTCGGGGGGGGGAAAGGGGGAAAGGATCTCAACAAGCAAAGGTGGGAGAAGATCTTGGGGAGGAAAAGGGAAAAAATCTCAGGGGGGGAAAGGCCTTAGGGGGGAAAGGGGGAAAGGATCTCAACAGGGAAAAAAGGCCTTAGGGGGGAAAGGGGGGGAAAGGATCTCAACAGGAAAAGGGGGAAAAGATCTTAGCGAGGAAAAGGGAGAAGATCTCAGGGGGGAGGGAACGGCCTTCGGGGGGGGGAACGGCCTTAGGGGGAAAGGGGGAAAGGATCTCAACAGGGAAAGGGGGGCAAAGATCTTAGAGGGGAAGGGGGGCAAGGCGACAATTCCAAAGGGACGCACATAAGAAAGCAGGCCTGTAATGTCGGCGGCCTGAGCCGGAGGCGTTAAAATATGTGTTTCGCTTGCTGGGGGCCACAACAGGGCCTGGACAAATTGAGAGATGATCCATCCCCATCTGGCCTCCTTTAGGATTTTCTTTCCTGATTAAAGGCCAACTTAGCCCGCAGCTCGCCTTCGTTACGGCTATGAAGGGGGCCGGCAACTGGATCCCAAAGCCAGAAGAGATCCTCTCGCAAGCGGAAGAGATCCTCTCGCCGGGCGGCTCAACCTGCCGCACGCGGCCCTCCCAGCGGCTCGCTTCCTGGACCGGCTGGCCCCCTGCGTAGCGCACGCCCTCGCAGGTGAAGACATAGGCCTGGCGGACTGCAATGTTGGAACCTGCGTGGTTGGTGGATAAGCATCCCCTTTGATGTCCACCAAGGGGTCCCCCAATAGAATTCACACTTGTCCGGTTTCCTGCAAAACGTGAAGCATTCCGCAAGGAATGCCTGGCCTCACAAGCGCAAAGAACTGCGTGCATTCTAACTTGAAGTGAACCCATGTGCCCATGCCAAACCCGCACCTTTCAACCGGATCGGACGTTCCACTTTCCCAGGTAGAAGCCCCAACACCTGCCCCCAACTGTCACGCCTTTGGCAGCCTCCTGCGTTTCGGGATGATGTTGGACACCGCTGCCTGCATGCGCAGTGGCAAGCTGCTTTGGACAGGGCACCGACAAGCTGCCACCACGGAACGCCCACGAACTCCGAGGTTGGCGTTGAGCCACTTCAAAACTCCTTTCCACCCTCGCGCAGGACAAAGCAAGGCGCCTCGTAGACCAGCTCCAGGCGCATGAAGTTTCGCGCCACCTCCGCGCTCTCCTGCACCTGTTGCCCGGAGAAAGTTGGGGTGCCACTACCGGGGGGGGTCGTCGTGCGGCAGCCCTCTTGCCCACACAAAACTACCCAAGTTCCAGCAGCCTTGTCGTAGCTGTCACTCATGATAGCCTGAGAAGTGGCAATTCCAAGGCAGGCTGCCCAGCATCGGTGCAAAGCAGCAGCGATGCATGAACGATAACAAACGAGTCGCTGCCGGGCCGAGATGCGATTAGAAAGTTCATCATCACCTTGGAACTGTGCACACAATTGCGCTTGGCTGCAATTCGACCGCCAGACCATTCGCCAATTGAAGCCTAGTCACCACCAGCATCACGATCACCATGCTGACCAGCAAGAATTTCGCTGTGAGCGACGTATCATCCTTGCAAGCTAGCGACCACAACATATTTATGACACTGGCATCACTAGAAAGAATTGAATTACGACGCTGCCGCATACAGCCTTCGCAGGGAAAACAAAAACATGACTGATGTTGACGTTGGACGTTGACTAGCAGAAACAGCGCAGGCAAAGCTTGAGCTTCTCTTGCCAAGCAGCCCCGCCCTCTGGCGCATCGTCCGTATCCCCAAAGACGCCGTGCACATAGACATACCACATCATGGTGCCGAAGCCATCCAGCGTGAAAGGCTGCCCGTAAAGCCTGGGAAAAGGCACGTCTTGAAGCCACCCGGCCTTACCCTCAAAACACACGGAACTTGTGTTTTGCCCAGACGCAGGAGGAAGGCGAAGACGAAGGTGAGCATCATGAGGATCATCAGCCGGAAGAAGACTGCCATGTCCCAAAAGATGGTGACTAGTGTCCTGGAACTGGCGGTCATGCCAGATATCGCCCGAAATTTCCCAAACACAGCGTCACCCTTCAACTCCTTCAATGTCTCCAATGGCACTTCCAAACCTACCAGAATCCTGCAAAAACAAAACACAAAGGCAGGGGAGGTAGCTTCCCAGTCCTGACCAAATGGCCCGTGGTGGGAAACGCCCGCAGGAAGCTAATCAGCCTGAGGCAGTGCGGTGGCCATCAAGAAAGCCACCACCCCTCTGCATGTGCCACGTTCCTGGTGTTTTCTTCAATGAGAACATGCCAGCCGAGCAGTGCACAAGCATGAAGACGAGCCTGGAGCACACAAAGACCGTGGTGATGGCCAACAGGTTTTTGCCCTCACCAATGAAGACGCCTACGGGTCTTGGCTGACACCCAAACCACTACAGCTGACCCCTAAGTTGCTAACCTCCCTCCCCCCCTTTGGCTGGTTTCTACCACAAATACTGTCTCAAAAGACTCTAGACACTGTAAAATGATGACAACAAATGTTGACAGCTGCTCACATCGCAGAAGCAATTACTGCAGATGCGCTTGAGTTACAGATGCATGAGGCAGCTTTGGTGCTTGAGCTTCAGCAGAAAGTTTCGTAAAGCTGTCTATCGTCGGGCTGTCGCACGTAGATGCCAGAGGTGAGACCATACTTGTGGTCTGCCACTGATGGGCAGCCGCAGTGTTGCAAATGCACACGAATTTGATGGCGCCTTCCCGTTCGGATGCTGATGGCTACCATGCCCATGGCCTCGACGTGCTCGGCATTGGCTATCAGCTTCAAGCGGGACTCGGCTGGCCTACCGCGGGCGGAGCAGACGGCGCAAGGGACAGAGTCCAGGATGCGGGTTGTCGTGTGAAGGTCTGTCGATGGAAGTGAGCCATGACCGAGCACCACATACTCCCGCGCGATCTGGTACGTGTACATCTGCCACTCCAGGCAGCAGTAGCCCTGGAAACTCGTGGCAACCAACACCAGCCCTGAGCTTGGCGTGTCCAGGCGGTGCACAAACCCACGACCGAAGTCCGTGAGGCCCAGCAGTTGGCAATGCTCTGCCGGCAGCCGAGCTTGCAAGAAGCCGGAGAGCGGGCGCAGCCCGGAGCAGCCCTCGCTGTCCACCTCCCATCCCGGAGGCTTCATCACAAGGCACATGCCCGACATCATTTCAATCTTCAGCTCTGCGCTGGCCAGTCCAGCCATGCTTCCCGATGTCGGAGTCGCCTCCGCCTGCAAACCAAAACGGGCGCCCAAGCGGCGCACTGCCGCTTCAGCTCCTGGCAGAAACCGATCGAGCTGCATCAGCGTGAAGGACCAGGCCAGGGCGCAAACGTTGACCAGAAACAGCCGCGCGGCTGCGTGGCTGGCTGGCATTTTAAACTCCGCTTGCTGAGCTAGCATATCTGCCGCTTGCTCGGCAATAACCTTCGCCAAAAGCTGGCTTGGCTCGGACGTGGTGGCGGGCCCCCAGGCAGTGTTGGCAAGCTCCTGCATGGCGAACTGCTGCACCAACCCCGACGCCTGCTTGCACAAAGCGCTCATCATTTCTGGGAACGACAGAAACACCACCCCAAAAGCCTGGAACGTGTTGGACAGATTTTGTGAGTCGAGCTGGTCCACACTGCGTAGGATGGAATAGCATAGTGCTTCAGACAAGGGGTCGCCGCAAGTCATTGCAACCCCATGCGACCACACAATGTTGGAGATCTCCTGTGGGTTCGAGCGGCATGAGTTCTCCAGTGCTGCTAGCGCCAAGGCATGGAACAGGGCTCTGTCAAAGGCGGATACTTTTGCAAGACTTCATGCAGTGTTTGCTGCTTCTTGTGGGCCAAACTCGTCGAACAGCTCGACGGCTCGACCTCCGATGGCATGCATCAGAGGTGGCAGGAGCGCTTGCAGCGCAGCCGGACACCGCGCCGCATTCGCCAGGTTTTGCGGGTTGAGTTGCGGCAGCTTCCGTTCTGAGGCCTCCGACAGAGCGTCCAGCAGCGGAATGCGGCACATTCCCAAAGTCGTGGGCGCCCAGAACACGAGCGCCAGGTCCTGGCACGGTGCAGCGGGACCAGAGCCGAAGGCCGCCACCTGGGCGATGGCCTCGGCTGCGGCAGCCCCAAGCAACGGCTCGCCGCGGGGCGCGGCCACGGCGGAGGCCCGTGCCACGAGCGCCAGGTGCTGCGGCGCAGCGTCAGCGTGGAGCAGCGCTCGTCCAAGTGCAGCCAGGGCGGAGGAGCCGCAGCGCGCCGCCGCGCTGGGCGCCCGGGCCAAGGTCGACGGGTCCTGCGCCACAAACCGTGGCCAGGGCTCGCGTGCCACACGTGTGGCCGCCTGCCAGGATGGCGAGCGCCACGGCGCCAGTTTGGCAGAACACCACGCCGTGTTGACGAGCTCCTGCACGGGCCACTTCTGTAGGCGCTTTGCAGCTCTTGTTGCGGCTGCATTCATAAGTGGCACGCCTCCAGGGCCCAACTTGGTCAAGTTCTGAGCTCTGTTTGAAGTGTTTTGTGGGCTGAGATGCTCCAATTTCTCGAGGGAGGATGATGCGAAGGCTCTCAGGAAGCGCTATGGCTCAAGTCTCAGTGTGGTGCACGTTCACAACATGTTGCTGAGGCCCTGCGGGCTGAACTCGGCGGATCTGGTTGATGCCTACTCAGCCAAATCTGCGAGCGCTACCTCCCCGTCGGATGAGGTAACGGCAGGTGACCAAAATGAGTTAGCAAGCCACCGCGGAGTGCATTCTGGTAAAAACCTCTGCCAGCGGCACACCAGCGCCGCAAAGCGGGGATCACCACGAGCCACTGCTGGCTCATACTTGGCCAGGCGGTGCAACGCTGTAGCCAACTGCACAGCTCCCAGCTCAGCAGCATGATCCTAGCAAAGCCTCAGCAGGGCCTTGCCATCCTGCTGCCCTGCGATCACATCATTCCACTTGCGGCTGATTGCATCCGCAGGGGCTTTGCGCCTCAAGCTTTGGGTCCCGCGCTTTGTTTCAGCGTCATCGGGAGGGCCCATCAGCCCTCATCGAAAAAGGCAGTTAATGCTGTTTGTGGTGAGTATGTGGGTGCTGCAGCGTGCAATCAAAAACAGCTCGTGGAGCACACGCCTGTTCCACGATGCCAAATCCTCAATAGGCTCATGAACTCAATGTCTCATCTGTTAATGCACCATGCTGAAGCCATGCAGCGACGCCTCTCAGAAAGGGACGGCCCAGCACTGCCAACCCAATGCCCAGCCAGCCCGCGCCTTCCCGGTCCACAATGCTCCACACGATGGCCGTAGTGACCAAGGCCTTAATTACCCAGGCACCATCCAAAGCAACTGGGTTCACGGTTTTCGCAAGCCCGCGAGTTCAATGCCAGCCGTTCTCCCCAAGGCACGATGCGCATCATGTCCAGGTTGTTCCAGGTGGTGAAGTAGCTCAGCAACGCCCGGAGGCGCTCCCACCAGCCATGTGTCAGGCCATGTGTTTCCTGCAGCAGGGGAAGCAAAGGCAACAGAGTGCTGCGGACTGAGCCGCCCGCCTGAGCAAAAGGATTTCACACAAAGCAAATTCTCCCCTTCATCCCAGCGCCCCCCCCCCCCCAACATTGGCCCTCACCAAAAAAAGATGCGCCCTAAAACCCCCGCAGCCAAGGTGCCGCCCTTCGCACTTCGAAGAAGAGTTGAGTCATCTCCTCTCACGCTGCAGCCGGAATGCGCACCATCAAAGTGCAACTTGCTTCTTTTGCAGGTGTTTTCCTCTCTAACACCAGGTGGTCGCTGACTCCCGGAAAACAACACAGATTGCACGGCCCGAATGCGCAGTCCACGTATAGGAAGAAGAGCTGGTAAAGGGCCAAAAGCACCTCGCCAGCCGCGCCCACTATGACCCGCACAACGGTAGCAAAGTCAGCCAAGGCGCTCGGATCAACTGGAGGGCCGAACCTGGGCTATCCCGGGCAAAATTGCAGAATGGGGCAAAGCCACGTTGCCCCAACGAGCTTCTTGGGGCAGATGCAAAGCCGAAAGCCGGGTGCCGAGGCACCCGAGAAGCTCTGGAAGTCCTCTGCCAGCGTCTCCGGGGGCGGGCAGCTGCCCCGGCCGGCCATGCAGAAGCCCGCGAAGCAGGCCATGTACACGAGGTACAGCGCCAGCTCCACGCGGAACTGCCTCCGGCGAGGGCCAACCCTGCGGGAGTCTCTGCGCCGTGGGTCCATGCAGCTCCCAGAACTGAGCTATCAGCGCCTGCGTCCTACGGTGGTCCACTGCTCCTCCAAAAGAACGTGGACAAAATTTGTCCGCATCATCTCCTCCTGATCCGACTCCTGCCAGGAATCCAACACATCAAACTCACTCCTCACAGGCCTGGTCATCCTGCGCGCCTTCTAGGGCTCTTCTCGTGTCGTTTTCAGTTTTCGCATTGCATGTGTGTAGCATGCGTCTTGCTGGGGGCGAGGTGCCCTCCCTATCTCGCTGCAAGGCGCCTGCAGCGCTGGGATGAGGCCCACCTCATCATCCAAGGCCCCCCGGAGGTACCACACGTTGATCTCCACTGGCCTTTCTGGCGTGCTGGCATCCTGGCGCATCTCAACTGGGGCAGTTCCACATGGCACCGGCAAGTGCAGCATAGAAATGGCCGTGGTCCTCGAAGCTCGGCACCAAACCTCAGGCGGGAATGTGTGAAAACCACAGAGCCTCTCTAATGCTTGGTTTCATGCCTTTTGCCTTTAGCAAACCATTCTGACGAGGGCGTCTGCCCTAGTTTTGCCCTGCAATTTCCAGGGTCGCGGCCGCGGAATTCCGGGGCATCGGGGCGGTACACCGGGGCGCTGTAGGAGCGAATCTTCATCTCCTTCTCCTGCCCAGATGGTATTTTGACAAAATTTAGGAGGAATCCAGGCCAAAGGTGCAAGTACAAGGACCAACCCCCACTTCGCTTGGAAACCGTGGGTAGGCGACGCTCCAGCTTTCACCCTTGTCCAAGTTTTCCCTCTCGAAGCAGGGGTTTTCCTTGGTGACTGCTTGTGGCTTTGGCGAAAAATCCAAGGATAATACAAAAGCTCTCTGATACACGCCGCTCGCTCACCCCGCCTGCAAGGCTGCCCTCGCTGGCAGCGCCTTCAGCCGTTCCCCGGCCCGCGTCACCTCGAAGTGGCCTGGCCTTGGAAGGCGGGAAGCACCAATCCCATCCCATTGATGCTGGGAAGTGGCATCTACTCTAGTAGCCAAACGACCCTCCTGCAAGAACATGCTGGCAGGCATCTGCCCTCCAAGCACGCTCTTCCGGCTGGCTCAGGCTCAGGGCAGCGCACGCCGCAGCACACGCGGTCGAGGAACTCGGGGAGAGTGGCGGTGCGCATTTTCAACAGCCGCACCACGGTCCGCGTCAGGGACAAGTGCTCTGCCGGCAGGCTGCGAGCAAGCAGCGCCTATGGCGACGGCATGGAACCGGCGTTTGGATGGCTCAAACGAATCCGGGGCCCGAGGGCTCCGCTCAGGCTTTCCGTCCCACTTGCCGCCGAGGGGCGCGGCCCAGGACCTCCACATCCTCCCCGTGGCGATCCCAGGGGTGGGACCCACACTCCGCGCTGCGCTGCTCCATGAGCACCGCCAGCAGGTCCTGGCGATATAGCGGCTTGCGTTGACGCCAGGGGCTCCAAGGGGAGTTGGAGAGGGCCGGGAGCGTGTGATGTTGCTTCTTCTTGGGTTGGATGACCCCTCCAGGAGCAGAATTTCAACCGATTTCAACGTGATGGTCACCTGTCACGATGCCCACCTGCAATCTGTTGTCACACAACCTCGTTGCGCATGGGGTTGAGCAGCAATCTGTTAACCAATTGTTGAAGAGGTGCTCAACCATGACAGCCCACTCTTCATGTATCCCTCAATGACACTCAGTGTTGATGATGAGACTGCGCGTAGGCGTACCCCCGGTCATCCCTATGCCACATCAAATGACATCTCCAGCAATGGTCTTCGAATTTCGGTGCATCAGCCCGCCCACCTCCACAACTCCAAACTCGTTGTGCTGCAATGCCACGTCTAGCACCTAAAGCACTCGGTGGCCCCCATTCACAGCACTTTGCAAATCGCCCCTTGCCTCCCCGTCCCCCCTTTTCTTGGCCCCCCTCTTGGTTGGCCCCACTCTTGGCCCCTCTTGGCCTCTCTTCCCTTCGATTCCCTCACCTACCTCTTATACACTTGGCCGCCGGGCGTTGCGGCCCTTGGCATCCCGCTGGAAAGGTGATGCGGAGAGCCGCACCAGCAGCCGGGCCTGGGAGGCTTGGCCCCGGCAGGCGCAGCAGTGGAGCAGCGTCCAGCCTGCGAGGTGCGTCACAGGCTGGCGAACGGTGCAAGCAAGCAACCTTTACCAAGCCCATATGGAACTCTGGCTGCCCTGGCCTAAGCCCGGAAGCTGCTGATGCAGCAGGGTGGGCATCATCTCCAGCTGAGCGTAGAATGCCGAGCTGGCCTGAGCTGAGCAGCATTTGTTGTTCCTTACTTCGAGTCATGCAAAAAATGGGGCGAATGACAGCCCTGATGCATGTGTTTGTATTGGCAGCCTTTGCCCATGGTCTGCGGATCGTTTCACTACACTTTGCAAGCTCCGCCTTGCGAGTCGCAACTGTGACACCGCAGTATGCAAGGTGCACGTTGGCATCTCCGGCTCGGAAATCGCAATGGTTCAGTACAAGCGCGGTATTGAGCGCAAAGTATGCGTTCGGTGGGCTGGCCACCCATGCTTGGCGAGGTTGTGGCAGGGCTTAGTCTGCCCTTGCGTTCATATCGTGGTTGATCTTGTTGTCTTTCAAAGCAGCCGGATTTTGGGCGATGATGCTGGAACTATACATGTGAACACAGAAGTGCTGCATTCTAGCACTGATTTTTTTTGACTAGGGAACGGTGATGCAATCAAACACATGCTCCAAAGCCAGTATTTAGTTGACAAGCCTTCGTCTGCGTCGCTCAAACAGGACAACAGACAAGGATAAGGTTTGTTTCCTGAAAGGGAAATATGCCCACACCCTGTGACCCCAGGCTCCGGGTTGTAAGTCCACACACCGAGTGGCATCCTCCGCTTTTAGCTTGACATCTGGCAGCATGAAATCCAGGGAGGGGTTCAGCAAGTCGTACACTAACACTCTGTGCTCGTCGTGGCTTGCGCCAGCTGACGCAGCTGAAGTGTCGTTGGCGTCCTGTTCTTCTTGCTCGCGTTGCGACTGGCAGCATACGGCTCGGCTAAGCTGCTCGCCTTTGATGACAATGTCCATCACCTCGCCACTCAAGCACAGAACTCGGTGAGCTTGAACGCGCATTTGCGAGGACTCGCTGCTCACAAGGCGCCCGAGGAGAAACAAATGCACACGCCCCGCCGTGTCTCCTGCGGCGAGCAGGCGCCCGGAGGCAGTGAACCGCAGCACAGTCGCAGCCAGTGGAGTCGAGCCCTTCTTTGGAGCGGCTTCGCCTTCCTGGGAGATGTCGAAGAAGGTCCGAAACCCGGTCCGAACCTCGTGTGCGACCACACAGGCGTCAGAGCTGCTGGCGAGCACAGCCGAGGGGAAAGGCTCCAACCCGCTTGGCATCAACAGCCCAGCGTGCCAAAGGCGCTTGACCTTCAGCCGTGGCTCCTTCGCCTCCCTCGGATCCTTGCTGACGGTCCTCGGCCTGCCCCGCGCCGAAGCGCTCGGGCTGCGTGGGCTGTTCGGGCCATCGCGCCACTCCAAGGGACGCGAATTGGAGTCGTAGCCAATGGCCAGGCACCGCACAGAGCTGCCCTCCAACGGCACCTCGCAGGAGAGCCGCGCGCAGCCAGAGTCCGACAAGTTCCACACGCAGCACACTGCGCCGGCATGGGAGTTCACTGCACCCGCCAGCCAACTCCGTCCAGGCAGGAACGCCAAGGCAACTACCTCGGCCCCCAACAAGGCGCATCTCAAGCCATCCTTGACGACACCTTCAGAGCTCGTCCAGCAAGCCAAACCCACACTCGTAGAGTGCGACCGCACTGCGCGCCCAGCGGCTGCTGCGATATACATGGTGGGATCGTCACCCTTTGCTGCGACACACGACAAGCTGTCTGCGTGTTCCTCTGTGCACAGCTCTTGATCCGGCAGCTTGAACGCCTCCCAGGGCAGACCAATGAACATCACCCTCAGGAGACAAGATCCCGGCCTGCATGAAACTGCCATCTGCATCATAGAAGCATGCCACCAAAAGGTCACCATTCACTGCAACGCTGATGGCCGAGGAGTCGCGCGCGATGCCCGCAACCTGCACATTTCACACTTGTGCTTACACCAGGCTTGGTCATCAGCCCCCCGAACCTGCAAACTTCTGCCAAGGTGCCCTCTGCGCAGTCATGTCGCCCAACTGCCAAATAGAGAGGCCCCTGCAGGGTGCAACACCGGCCATGAGACCTACATTGGACATTGAACCAGCAAACGCTCCCCGCACCTGGAGCGCTTCCTTGGGAGGAAGCATTGGCAAGTGAGAGGTGATGTATGACCCGAACGTGCAAATGCAACCAAGAATCCGAAAGGCATCGGTGGTTGACCGAGGTGGTGAGCGGGGAATGCTTTCAGACGCCTGTGTAGCATCAGTATCTGCCAACGTCTTCTGCATTGTCATGCCCAAATCTGCGCCCGTCACCTCAATGCAACCGCGACAGTCTGCAACACAGGGCCAGCAGCTGAGCTCGACAGGCAAGGCGCATGCAAGTGAGCCATTGAACCATTGTGCCGAGCAGCAGTAAGGAATTGACCAGTATCAGAGAGAGCAACCACGGGTCGAGCTCGGCCAGCAGAAATGCACGTGCCACCTCCGCCATCTTTCGCGAAGACCGCGCAGCGGGAAGGAGCGTGGGAGCTCCTGGGGCATGCTCACGCCAGCTGAGACAAGCGGCAACAAAACAAGCCGCGCCAAGACAAACTGCTCCACACGCTGCGAAGTTGGAACAACCTGCTGGCTCGCAATTGGTGGCTGGCTGGCCGTCCTTTGGGACCTGAAGCCAACTGCCAACCAAGGGCAATCACTAGCCCCGGTGACGAGCTGCGGAGTCTCAGAGCTGAAGGACCACCTGACCATCAAATGCAGGGCCCCATGCGTTGTCTAGGCACAGGCCCTCGGAAGCATAGTGACCCTTAAACTGTTTAACAAAAGCCTTGCACCCCCCACACACCCCACGTCCATGCGAAAAGGCTGGGAGGAGAGACCAAAGGTATGCAGACAACACCTTGCGCCTTCTTTCACTCATGGCAAGCCAAGCCTTCGCACCAACGCGCCAGACTCCACATTGACCAGCCCGACCTCTAAAGGACAAGCAGCAAAGACCGGACTGCGTCATGAAGACAATGACTCAAGGAGCTGCAGCTGAGGGAGTAGGCTTGGGCTTGCACGACGCATGCACATGCGCACTTGCTCCAAGTCACGGATTTCATCTGAGTGAGAACCACCGCCAAGGTGGAGCTGCTCAGCCACGCAAGTGCGGGAATGCTGGCTGTGAGGTACACCTCCTTTGCTCGCAGCAGCCTTGGCTTCAAGACACGGGGGAAAAGTGTTGGCTAAGCGGCCGAACGTGCTTACCTCTGGCAACGTGAGCGGAACTGACCAAAGAACCTACCCAAACAACAAAGCTGCCATGCGTGCACCTGTTCCTTTGGAATTTCCTTTGGCCCAGCGTGTTCGAGAAGCTCGTGCGTCTCCAGACTCCACACTGAGAGGGCGCTGTGCTCGGTCCGCGCTCGGCGGCTGCCTGACAGCCAGCTTGCAGCCGGGCGCACATTGTTTTTTTACATCTCTCTCCAATCCATCTTTATTTACACCTTGGAATTACTTCTGTCTTCTTGCTTCTCTTTTTACTATTGTTTACTATAGTTGGGTCAACAGGAATAATTATTGGAAATGTTGCTGTGGATCTAGAATTACATGATACATATTGTGTTGTGGCACATTGTCCATGTTGTTCTTTCTTTAGAAGCTATAATTGCCATCTTCTCTGGGATAATCTTGCATGGAGAAAAGATTGTTGGTACTAAGAATTGATTACTTTCATCCTCATGTACCCTCTCTCTGTATCATTCCACTATAATATTCATTGCTATGATTCTTACCTTCTCTCCAACGCATTTCTTAGGATTTAATGGCATGCCAAGAAGCATCCCATCCTTTCCAGATTCTTTTCATTCCTGCAATTAAGGATTCTGTCTTCCATCCGAAACCTCAAACGCAAAAATAGTTGATTAGGAATCACGCGAAAGGGCTTATGTCACCTCTTTGCTTCAGTCTGCTGACGCCTTCGTGTGGAAGCTGCGTCATGGTGTTGCCAGGGGCGAGCGCCCTCGCGCCTGAGTCAGGTGACGCAAGCATGCAACAGTGGAACTCACTGAGACACCCAAGACAATAAATAACTAAAGCATTAGACGCGTCATTAGCGGCATTCACTTGCGGATCACATCGGCCCATGGCACGACACACTTGAAATGCAGACTGCAGGGATGTGGGTATGTTCAAAGATGGGGACCCGAAAAGATGGTGACCTGTCGTAGTCGCCCGTCTGTTGCCAAGACCCCCGGCCGGCGCCCCCGTCACCGGAGCGCTCGCAGCCCACGGCCAGCAGCGTGCCGTCTGGGGAGGCGCTGGTGCAGAGCACCCGGCTCTCCAGGTCCAAACACCGCACCTGCGGCCATGCCCTTTGCAACCGAACCCCTGGCCTGGCCATGCTCGGAGACCCACCCACCAAAGCAGTCCCCACCTTGGAACAAAAAAACTGACTTCTGCCCAACCCTGCCCTGCCTCCACGTCAGGGTGCTGAAAGCGCAGCAAAACCTTAGACCACGGGATTTGTTTTCTACACCCCTTGGATGGTGCACAAGGCAGCGAGACTTGAGGGCGTGCCTCATCCTAGCCACCCCTTAAGCAACTGGCCGACTTTTGTGGAAACAAGCTTGGGGCGTACCCGCAACCCTTTGAAGGAGCTGCTCCCAACAAATCAGGCAACCTGCCCCCTTGCCAGGCATGGGGCGCGCTTCCCGCGCATCATCGCCCTGACCTCTGCAGCCGCGCAGGGCAGCTGCCAGGACTTGTCGTCCAAGAACCGCCAGCCAGTGAGCAGCCACCCTGAGCAAACAGTTTCAGTGATCAGCACAGCTCAAAAAATGAGATCCGGGAAGACAGAGGGATTATGGTCTCTAGAATTGTGCATCAGTTGCCTGATGCCAATGGCTAGAAGCCATCCGTCCCCGAAAGCACACGAACTCTGAGAAACTGCCAGTGACCCCCTTAATTTGGCTCGAGCCGGGCGCCCCGGCCACAACCAGCACGCACCCCAAGCTGGTACGCCGGGCCGTCCTCCTGCAACCAGGTCACCTCCGTTAAGACAGGTTGGCATGGGCCAGGCTGTACGGGTGACCCACTACTTGCTGTTCAAAAGTGAGGCCTAACATCGAGTGCTAAGTATCGGGCGAGAAGGCTCTCGTCATCCAACGCCAAAGAAAAGTCCTGACCTGAAGTCGGACTCGCGCCGCGCCGTGCTCAAAGCCCACCCCGCACCAGAAACACCTTGTGCCATTGGGCGGCCGGGGCTTTCCTCGTAAACCACATTGACAGGCAGCCGAAAGCCAGAATGGCTTTCTACATCACCTGCAATGCCCGGGCAATGCGAAAAGTAAAAGACCCATGCACTTTATCTCATGCTGGCCGCCTCCGTCCATATCATCCCACAAGAGAACACGCCGGTCCGCTGCAATCACGGCACACTCCATCACAGCTCCTTGCAAGTCAAATGTGGACCTGCAACATGATGCCATGCCAAAGAAAAAGCCCCCAACTGCAAGACACAGTCACGCAAGACCATGACTGGCGCTCTCCTTCAGAGGTAGACTGGAAGTGGCTGACACAACGAAGTTGCATGCTGGGAAGCACCAAGCGACTTACCTCCTGTGAGGTATCTACCTCAGCTCCGCAGTCAAGACAAGAGTCTTCCCTGCGTTGCTAAACTTTGAAACTGCAAGAGCACCGTTTCAAGCAGAGGGTTGGAGGATGTTCGCTCAATGTTGAGATCTTTTCGACCCAAATCCAAAAAACATGAACCAGGATTTGCCGTGCGGCGTCGATCAGGGATACCAGCGAGCACAGGCCTGCAGCCCCGGCAGCCACAAGGCGGAAGCCACTGCAGAAGCAAAGCGCCCGCAGAGTCCAGTCCCGCAATATTGGGCTTGTCAGCTGGCCTGTGCGGGCCAGCGGCCGAGGCATGGGTTTGTCCGCTAAGAGTGAGCCAGGACCAAACATGGCACCACCTGGCACCCCAAAAAAAAAAACGCGGAAGCCGTCAAAAAGAAAATGGCTGCAGATCAGTGTCTTTTCAGGCTTAGTGCCACTATCCGAAAATTAGGCGGCAACAAGATCTCGGGGGCGAACGAAGTCCCCTGAGTGTTCCAAGCGCGCTACCCGGAGGCAGTCTTTTCCATGAGAGCAGCCGGTGTGGCTAAGGTACCTAGGTGGCCCTCCACTCCTGAACATGAAATGGCCACCCAGTCACAAAATGTGGTTAAAGAATGCGGCGCGTTCTTCACATCGGGGGGAAACAAACCAGGCTACTGGTGCTCTTCGCACCATTCACACAGATGCAGCTCTATCTGGCTGTTCCGCAAGTAATGGCACTCCTGGCGTGTGTGGATTCTCGCACCTCGCCTGGCCATGAAAAATCTACGAGACCTCATCTGGTGCAAGTCTTCCAGCGCCCAGCTCGCTGCATTCTCCCAATGATCCGTGTCCTCGCGGGCCAGCTTCGCCACCTCTTCGACATGCTTGATCTTGTCGCTGAGGTGCTTGACCTTCTCAGCCAGGTCCTGCTCGGCCTTCCGGCTCCAGAGGCGGCCCACCATGAATGCCAGTGCTGCCACCATGAACATGATGATCAGCTTCATCACCTCAAACTCAAAACCGCCAGCCGAGTCCACCATTGCTGGCCTCTCTGCATTTGCTCCTGTCGCACTGCCCGCCGCCATCGCCACCATGATCGCATCCGCCACCTTGGACCCTGACTTGGCCCCCTTTCCGTTGTTCTTCTTCCTGATCGTTCCCGTCATGCTCTCCCAGGACTTCTCGATCTCCTTGTGCGTCTTTTTCTTTGTCGCGGTGAACTCCGGGTCGTGCACCAGCTGCACCATCCCATACGACATGACATCTGCCATATCCTGTTGCGCAGCGAGCTTGGTCAGCCCATCGGCCATTTGCCTTTCACTGCTGACCCACCTCCACTCCGCCTTCAATGAATTGATGGCGTCCTTCACGCACAGGATTTCCAGCGCAGCCCGCTTGTCCAGGCTCTGAGATATGTTCTCGCGCTTCACCGCGTCACACAGGGCCTTCGCGTCGGTCACGATGGCACACTTGCCCCTGCCGTAGAGCTCTGCGCTGTCAGCGATGCCCTTGCTGGGGTCGAGCATCATGCCGAAGAAGACCTTCACGATCATGAGCTCGTCCAGGGCCATGGCACATGCTTCTGCCTCCGCAGCTAGGCTCGAGCGGCATACTCGTGGAATCTTAAAGGGCCTCCACGACACCAAGGTGTAGGGCACCGCCTTGCCGATCAGCACCTCCTCATTGCACGCCACGATCATGAAGCCGCCCTGGCTAGACAGGTCGCTCCTGACGCTCACAGCGTCACTGAAGCACACGAAGCAGACCTTCTCCAGGCTAGGGGCGATCTTCGCGATGCGCAAAGCCACCTGGCCGTTGGCCTTTGCAAACCTGAGCATCTTGTTGAGCTCCTGGAGGTACTTACCATCGCCCTTGTTCAAGCCTCCCGCCAAAATGGACACCGAGGCATTGAGAAAAGGGGCTCCCTGGCCGGCAGGCCATTGCAGGGCTCCGATCAGCCCGCGAGCCTTGTTGATCTCCCTCGCATTGAGGGGCTCATCTATGTGCCTGTTCTTGACGATGTTGATGGGCAGAACCTTCTTGAAGAACTCCTCGTAGTCCAGCGTGAGCTTTTTCTGCGCGGTCACCTTGATTCGGCCGCCACAGAAAACCATGGGGTTCCTTACGTCGAGGACGGCCCACTTGCCGCAGTCAAAGCTCTTCTTGATGCGCTCCAGGGCGTCCGAGAAGTCTCGGTCTCTGTGGTCGCCCCCAATCATCATGTCATCGACGTGGAGGGTGACCAAGCCCTTCAGTACGCCCTCCTTGTTGTAGCACATGTACGCGCACTTGTCCAGGGGGTGACGCCGAAGTGGAATTGCCCGGAGCCGCCGGTCAGCTTCTGTCCACCAGAGTAGGGGTGCGTCGGCCAGACCGTAGGCCGACTTGTTGAGGCGCATGTGGATCCGGCCGCTGCGTCCAAGGAGTGCTGCGCAGTCTGGCGGCAAACTTCTCGCCGCTCAGCAATGCTGCACGCACATCTCCACACAGCAGCTGCCAGTTCTGGTTCACGCATACCATGAGCTGAATCATCTTGGCATTCCTGCTTCCTGTCGGAGGCGCCTTGTCAAGGTGAGCAAGGTCTGGGTCTTGAAAACCTCGCAGCACGAGACGCGCTTTTGCCTTGTACCGGGGGTTGCTGTCGTCTCCCCTCGCTTCGACGCTTCGTCTCCGCGCGCGTCAACCACACTTCATCCAACCCCAGACATCCTTCCACCACCGTCCAGCCTGTTGGCAAGTCGCCGCTGACGAACCGCACATCATCAAAGCTCAGCTCGTCTGGCAGGATCTCATCAGCCATGAGCTCCCCAGGAACTTCAACCGGCACTGCTGCCACCTGGTCCGTGCTTGTAGTAGGTGGGGTGTTGGGTGCAGCATCCGGTGGCTCGCTGATGGTGACGGTGCCCTTGTCTGTAGCTGGCGTCTTGCTGCCCGTCCGTCTGCGTTTTCCTTCTCCAGCAGGAGCTCCAAGTCCAGCATCTCCGGTTGACCTTGCCCGGCTGCTCGAAGAAGGCTGCCCAATCGAGGCGTCCTCGTTGATCTCGCCGATCAGCCTCCCAATTTCCGAGCTCATCGGGGGTGCAACCATCTGCTCATCCTCGCCGATGATGCTGGGCTCGTAGTCGTCCATCTGGTCCTCAATGTCGGCATGGATCTCGTTATCGGGCTCCTGGGCAATGTTCCTGAACTGCGTGGTGCTTCTCGCTTTCAGCGCCTGTAGATCCTGAAACCTCGTGAAGGCCGCAATCTATGTGCCCCAGCAGATCAACAGCTTGAGCATCCACAAGGGCTACACGCCTACTCAGTGGGTGATGGGGAAATCCACACAGACCCAGATCTCTCTGAGCGGCGAGGTCTTCAACCCCGCTTGATGACCAACGCACGTTTGCTCAGGTGCAGAAGAGACGCCTCAACGCCCAGATCGCCTTCCTCAAAGCTGACACGGACGCACGACTTCGCGACGTGCGATGAACCAGAACTTCAGGGAGAATCAGGAGGAGGTGACGATCGGACAGCTGGTGTGGTACTGGCGAGTGTCAAGGGCCAGCCACCAGCTGAAGGCGAACTGGAGAGGACCCGCCCGCGTTGTGGCGATCGAGCAGGACAGTACTGGCAGCCCTCATTGCGGCCGCCCTCCTCATCCATGAAGAGCTCCAGTGCCCGGCGCAAAACTTGATGCTTCCGCTCGACTGCCCCCAGCCAATTGTGGGACTCCGCAGGGGCAACCTCAAGGATGATCCCCCTGTCTGAACACCATTTTCTCACGGCAAGTGATGCCCAGCCCTTGGCTTTGTCCACTCGAACAAATCTGGGGCAGCCCCAATGCTTCACCCACAAGCGCTCCATGCCCTTGATGAAGTCGACCGACTGCTCGGTCTTGAGCAGCCTGATGGCCACGTAGCGGGTTGCTTGGTCCATCACGGTCACCACGCATCTCTGGCCATTGTCCGTATCGACCCAAGCTGAATCGATGAGGAGCCTTGTGTTGAACTCCTTGGCGGTGAGGCCAGCTGCAGGCGCTGTGCCGCTTGGTGCCTTTGTCGCATAGCACTTCGGGCACAAATAGCCCTGAGCAGCTTTCATCACGTCGCCCGCCTGCACCTCCTCTAACATCTTGGCCAAGACCTCTGCCGAAGGATGTCCGAGGTTCTTGCGCAACCTGGCAACGTAGTTGAAAGCTCTCTGTCCGACCTTGATGCGCAGCTCCTTGTTCTGCTTGATCTCATCTGCTTCTGGCATCTGGTCTTCGATCTCCTTCGACACCACGTCGCCTTGCTCCTCCTTCTTCGCCTCATCATCTTCTACCGCATTGATGAGCTCAGCGTCAGTGGGAGCCGCAGCGAGCAGCTGCGCAAGGCGCTTTGCAAGGCGCGGAGGGTAGGACTCCACCACCTCACTCCTCAGGCCCAGGCCAGGCACGTAGCCCTCGATGGGAACATGTTGATGCTGGCCAGCGCATGTTCGTTGCAGGCCAAGATAGAGTGAAACCTTGGTGGTGAGGAAGCATGTGGCCTTCCTGACGGGCCTACTGGCACTGGTCCACGTAGGTCCAGTATCCTTCCAGGGAAGCGAAAGCAATTGTCCTCCATGCCCTGCTCTTCCATGGGTGCTCGATGGTTGCCCCTCTGCTGCCGCGTCTCTGACACTCATAGGTCACGGCACACATCATGAGGATCGTGTCGTGGTTCTCCTCGCGCGCAGCCTCCAGCTGTTCTCGGCGCTCTGGATGAGCCGCCAGAGAAAGCTCCTGGAGCGTTGGCCAAAGCTTCCACATGGGGGCCATCAGCACCTCATCAGGCTTTTTCTTGGGAACTTCTTCCAGTGCTCCGGGATCATGAAGTCCCATTTCGGCAGGGAAAAGGTCTCAACCTTAACGTCATCCATCTTCTCGAGATAGAATGATGTCCTGGCCTTCCCGGCGAAGACCTCCCATACCACGCGGCGCTCTCTCCCCTTGACGTGGATCCGATTTGCCTCCGCCAAGAGAATCTCCTGATCTTTGATGGCCTTGGTGGTGCCATAGATCAGCTTCCGGAGATCTTTTCCTCTCAGCCTCTTCATCACACAATCTCCATCTGCTGGATTCCCATCGCCTCCTGGACTTGCTGTCGGAGAGCTCGAGGGGCTGTCCTCCTGCAGGTCGTCCTTCTTCTCTCACACGCCGGGCTGCAGCCCCCTTCTGAGCTGCTCTTTTTCGCATCCTCCGGCGTGGCTGGGGGAGTCTCGACCCCCTTGTCAAAGACCTCTGCCTGCAATTCTTTCAAAGTCATGCCGAAATCTTCGGCCACGAGGCAGCCCTCCTCAAAGCACTCTTCCATCTCACCCAAGATGACGCTGGGCGGCAACTTCTCCGAGAAATCCACGTGGTCCATGAAGTCCTCCGGAATCAGGGTCTCGAAAGCGATCTCCTCGTGGATCAACCGGTGCATGGAATTGTCCTCCACCAGGTTGACGAGGTACTCTCCCTTCGGACCCAACGGGACATCATGCCACTCATGATTAGGCCACTTCATCTTCTTCTCGCTGTAGTCCAGCTGAAGGCCCAATTTCTCCATGATGGGCCTGCCGAAGAGGATCGGTGCCGTGCCCTTGTTCACGTAGGTGAGCACCTTGATCTTCCTGCCCCCATCGTGGATCGGCAGCAGCACACACAAGTTGGTGCTCGGAGTTGCCGTACCTGAAGCCTTTCTGGCATCTGAAGATGTCGATCTCGCGGACGTCATAGCCGTTCTCCAAGAGGTAACGCATGTACTTCCGGATGTAGCGGCGGCTCCCCAGAACCGAAGCGGCTCCACCGTCCTGCACAGCGGTGTTGACGGTGTCGTCTTTCTCATCTTCTGCGGCCAGATCGTAGTGTTCCTCCACCATCATCACGGCCGCGTCAGAGTTATCATCAACCTTCCGCTTCTTTTCCGAGTTGCTGGGGCAGTTGCGGGCAAAGTGACCAGCTTGCCCACATCGCAGGCACAGATTTCGGCCAAGAGCGGCTCCTGCCCTGCTTTTCGCACTGCCCTTCTGCGGCGGCATCTTGTTCTTGCCGCCCTTCTTGCTACCGCCCTTCGGAGATTTTCCCCGTCCCTTAAAGGGGCCCCCAGAACCCGGGACCATGGCGACTACTGGGTAGAAACCTCTGGAAGTCCGCATCATGTTCATGCGGTTCTTGGCCTCGACGTAGGTTGCGTAGACATCGTCATACTCCTCCACGTCGAAAAACCTCGTCAAAGCCTTCATCCTGGGCCATGTAGACACCGTCCGAGTGGCCGCCGGTCTCGCTGGCAATGTCATAGTACGAACCATCATCTTCATCTTCTTGCCAGTGCACTCCGGTGTAGTCGGTGTCCGGCTCATAGGGTTCTTGCCACATGCCCTCCTCGGAGTAGAACATGTTGTAGGTCGGCTTCTGCTTGTTGGCATGGCCACCGCGGGAGGCATCCACCTTGGAGTCCTGACCCATGATGAAATTCATGGCGCGCTCAACGGCAGCTAAGTTAAGGCGCTCAATGCCGATCTGCGTCATGACCATCTGGCGCTGCTCCCGGCTGACGCCACTCCTCCGCAGGAACCACCAGGCTTTGACCTTCTCCGGCAGCTCCACCTGATGCGACGCCCGAAGCCTGCGCTCCACCCGGCCGAACTCGGTCTGATACTCCTGAAGCGTCTGGCCGGCTTTCCGCTGCAGCTTCACGAAGAAAGCCTCGAAGTCGTCCGGCAGCTCCGTCATCAGGCCCGGCTTAAAGGCAGCGTCCAAACGGGCGAAGACCTTGTCTAACGCGTCCTCCTTCTGAAGGTCGGCCATCTCCATATCGTCCACCAAATCCCAAGCTCTGCCGGTCATCGGCGTCACCAGGTTGAAGACCACTTCCTGTTGACGCCCGGCAAGCTCCATCTTCTTCTTGTAGAGCTCGGCCCTCTTGCGGTACTCACGGTAGTCCTGCTGCAGATTGCTGACGACCGGGACGTGTGAGTCCGCCTTGCCAGTGAAGGCATTCTCTGAGGGCTGCTCACTGCCCTTTCCCTCGGCCTTGGGCATGATCGTGCCGCCGAGCTCCTCAAGGGCGAAACCAAACTCCCTGTGCCGGTCTCCACCGGCTCCGCTACCACAACAAGATCTCGAGGGCGAACGAAGTCCCCTGAGTGCTCCAAGCGCGCTACCCGGAGGCAGTCTTTTAGCCGGTGTGGCTAAGGTACCTAGGTGGCCCTCCACTCCTGAACATGAAATGGCCACCCAGTCACAAAATGTGGTTAAAGAATGCGGCGCGTTCTTCACAGGCGGCAATTCACTCGGGTCACCTGCACTCCCTCACTATCATTACGTTTGAGCATGCCATTTGAAAAACGCTTCGCCTTTTGCGGCCGGTGTGCTTATTGCTTGGCAGGCATTGGTGCAGTGCAAGGCAGCAAACATGTGAGACCCTCACTAGCCCGTGATACAGCAAAATGTGTCGACCGGCATGCCTTGCCTACTGTGCGCTTGTTGGCTCCATCGTGGACACTCCAAACGCTGATTCGGCAGCTTTCACCCTGGGCACCTGGCAGGCCCGAGTGAGTGAGTGAGGCAGACCTCCTCATACGCAACACCCATCACCCCAAATAAAACTCCAACGAAGCCCAAAGAATAATCTTGAAACCAAGCAAAAGGCACATAGTGGGACCCGAGCAGACGATGGCCTCTGCAGCCAAGGAGCCATCGCGAGGGCCGCGCCTCGCGTGCCGCCCGGCACGTTGCCCATCAGAACCTTTGGCGCAAGGTGCCGCTGTTGTTGGGCCTTCTTGGACAGCCGTGCGAACAAGCCCAAGCCAAGACACCCTGGCTGGCCACAGCAAAGCAGCCGCCCCCAGGCTCCCAGCACGCCGCCACTAGAGAGGAGTGTAACGACTCCGACCACAAGATACTTGCCCCCTGGCGCTTGCTTCAGGCTTGCACAAGTCCGCCCATGTCGCTCCTGCACTTCAACTGTTTTAATTGGGCAGGCACCTTGCCGTCGTTGGGCTCGACATCGTAGAGAGCTACGTTCCCACCCATATCCTCACTGCAAGTACCCAGGAAACCGGCTGGCATGCTTGCCTTGTGCTGGTCATAACTTGTGCAAAGGAACACAAGTTCAGCAAGCAGGCAAAAGGAATCTGCCGAGGGTAGATGAGCGTGTGGATTGCAGTGGATGTGTTTTCTAACATCCTAAGAGTTGTCCTTGTCAAAGAAATCTGTACTGGACTCCAACCGTGTTCAGCGATGGAGGACAACTTTTTCTCTCCAAGAATCCGAAAATACCTGCCCAAAACAAGTTCACCACAAAGGGCCCCGTGGCTTGCTGTTTGCTGCTTTGCTAGGGCTGAAGCCTGGCAAGGGTTGAAAAGTGATGTGGACTCGGAGGCATCCATATGCAGCCAAGATGCGCCAACCAGCAGCAAAGGGAAGCTGGAACCCGGGCGGGCTGCCAGTGCAACTGCTTCTTCACCCTGGCAAAAGATTTCAATGCCACATAGGGACAAAAACTCTTAAGCAAGCCACGCTTTTGATGGGCCTTGGCGGCCTTTGCCCGACAAAGACAAAAACACCCATCCCAGGTTCTGATGCGCCTCCGGCAGGATGGGCTCCGCATATGGAAGCGGCAAGGGCGGCGAGCGCCTGACCAACTTCCCACCCACCCAAACTGCCACGAAGAGCTGCCGCGGGCCTTTGCTGTCGTTCAACGAGTGCCGCCTCATCTGGGCTGTTCACCGCCTGCTGCGCCTGCAAGGAAAAGAACTGCGGAGATCAAAAGGCAAATGCCCACTGGCCAACCGCAAAAGCTGCACGGCCTTCGAGCGAAGAAAGCCGGAATCCGGCCGCTGCCACAGGGGCAAGCGCGCTGTCTCACCTCGGCTGTATCAGCTCGGCGTTCAGCGAAGAAATGTGAAGAATGTGCAGGGCATGGCACGCCGGCCTGGCTCGGGAACCACGGCCGAGCCGGTCCAGCAGCAAGGCATGCCGCGAAGCCATGGGCTCAGCTCATGAGCGACCGATCAGCATGGGAAACCCCTTGCAAAGCAACCAAAGGTGCTAGCTGGATCCAAGTTGGAAACCAAAGTTGACTCCCAATTTCAATCAAAACGGCGACACTCAGTAGGGCAAAAGCAAGCTAGATGTTCATCGACTTCCGGTTTGAGCAGCGGCAAGGATGCAACAGTGCGTTTGGCTCAAGAATTTGACGAAGCGGTCTTTTTGCAAAGGCAAGCTCCGCTCTCTCTCGATTCCGCCCTGCCTGTGGCTGAGTCCAGCCGTTCTTCTGCTCCTGCACCGTGCCGCGTTTTTGGGCTACTATGCCCGCCAGGGCACAGGACCCGTCCTGGGCACCGTTGGGCAAGCGCCGCTTCAGGATGCAGGTGAGCACCGGCTGCCCGTTCCTTCAGTCGCACTGGGAACGGTGAGACCAGCTGAAGCTCAGCGCCCGGCTGGTCGCGCTTGCACGCCTGCAGGTTGATTCGGTCTGCGCCTGGGCCCACCAACGAAGGAATCGTGCGGAGGTTTTGCATTTCCTCGCGCAACAGCTCCGGCCTGGTGGCTTCTCCAAGCGCAGCCTTTACAGGGCCGCAAATACATGCATGTCGGCCGAAATTAATGATTAATGAATCATGGCCCCACGAACGCCGCATACACACGCCTGTCATCCATGCCGGCGTCCATCCACACAAGCCTTTGTGACTTCATGTGGTGGCCGGGAGCCTCTAACCTGAGTGCCACCGTCCATCGCTGGCTGTTCAAGCATGGGACTCCTCATCTGGGCAGTCTCTTTTTCTGGTGCGCGGGGCCTTTACAATACACACACACACACACCTACGCGAGTGCTTACGCAAACCTCCGCCACTGCAAGATGTGCCTACGCGCAGGTATTTGCGGCTTCCTTGCTTACGCGGATGCCTATGCAAGCCGCTTGCCCGCCGCTTTTGATACCTGGAGCTTTGTCTCTGCCGAGTCCTTCATCGCCCGTCGCCCGCCTTTACGAAATGGGCCTCGCGCGGAGCCTACGCAAAGCCTACGCGGATGGAGGCAGTTTTGTTTGTCTATCCAGGCCTAACACGCAGCGATACAAATCTCATAGCTTCCATGGCGAAACATGAAAGCTTCAAAAACTCTCAAAGCTCTATGATGTATCATCCCAGGCTTGCCTACGCTACGCAGGCGCCTACGCAAGAAAAATACAATGATGCACGCGAAATGTCTACGCAAGCCTACACCCCCCACCTGAAGTGCCTACGCAAACATGATACAGTTCCTTTGTTGTATAAGCCCTTGATTCCAGAAACAAACACACTGCCCATCTGAGCCTGCCTTCTTCTCACTACAGCATTATTAGAGTGCCTCCTTTGACTCAATGCAGCATCTTTGAACGAGACAAAATGAGACGCGAGTTGTGGATCAAAGCCCAGGAGAGCCTGAGAGCCCTGCTGTATTTCTGCAAGCGGGCCCATCTGGCTGTTGATGTAGGTGTTGCGGAGCAAAAGCTCCTGCCATCTCTGCCAGCAAGGATGGTCTGCTCAACGCTTCTGATTCAGCGCACCCAGCCTCGCATTCCCACCTATTTGTGTTGCAGCCGTCGTTCCAGTCCGCACCTAGCTTCAGGGCGAGCTGGGGTCTCAGAAAGTACACTGCGCTCCTTGATTCTGAGACGGCGGCTGAAAACTGTTTTGGCTTGGCTCATCAAGCGCCTCCGCCAAGATACAAACGCCAACACGCTGCATCCGCCGCATCCTCTCTTCCGGTCCGTTGCGAGAAGGCTTACCAACCACGCCAAGCCTCTCGAAGCCCAAGAGCTGCTGAAGAAACGCAGGCTTGAGCTCCAAATCTGAGGGAGACGTCGACTCTCGCTCGCTCTTGGCCACGTGTTGAGATCTTGTTCATTGCTCAAGAAAAGATGTCGACTGAGCTGCCAAACGTGCCAACTTGCCGAATGCGCCTGGACGTCGAGAGCTTAGAAACTCCATAGTTTTCCGAAGTCCCCAGGAGTACTTCTTCATCATGTACGCTGCCAAGATCTGGGCCAAACAAGGGAAGCACAAGCAAAAGACCGGCTGCAAATCAACCTCCAGCTGGGAACCGCGCGCAGCACGATCTTGACCTCAGCCCACATCAAACTGCATGCTCTGGTTTGAAAGTCTCCCAAGCTCTGTTGCAGCTTCAACAACCAAGCGTGCAGTTCAGACTTCCAGAAGTTGCCCCTGACGACTCACCGACAAAGCCCCGGGCTGACCACGGACAGAATGGATCAGCACACTTTCAGCGGCCTCCAGTATGCCGACTGTCCGGCTTCATCCAACATAGCACCATGCAGCTTCAGGCCTATGCCCAACATGCTTAAGAACCCGCCTCCAAGGCCTGCTCAACGAAGCTGAAGGTTTCATTAGCTACAACGTCACCTCGGAAGGACAAGGATGTAAAAGGTGACACAAAGAGCGACAGCAATCAATGGGAACCTTGCAATGAATCTTTTGACCCTGGTTGCTCTCTTGGGAAGGTCAGCCCATGCAAATTCTCAGATGTCATCCTTTGTTTTGTTCGAGCGCACTCCCACATCTCATTGCCGTCATCAGGAGTGAGTGATGTGGTCTGGGATTCGCACGCTGATCGAGGATGACTTGGCTGTCAGCATCCTCGCAAACATTGCATCCGCACTGCGCTGACTTGTGATGGAACCCGAGGCCAGCACGATCCAATAATAAGTAAGGTACGCGACCCCGATGCTTTCCCAGTGATTTGGAACCTGTGACGGGCGCTCATCGCAGAGCGATGCCGAAACCGGGCAAAGCTGCAGCCCAAAATCCCAATGGAAGAACGAGCAATTAGCACACATAACCTGTTGGACCTATTTCTCATCTTTCGTGTTGCACATGTCCGGAAAATGTGCGCTGCCTGCCGCCCGGCACAATTGATGATTCGTGTCACCTTGTTGGCGACGACGAACCTTGGCAGTGGCCAAATCAGATCCATCCTTCCAGTTTCAGCATGCATATCCAAGCGTCTGCCAAATGGATACTCCTAGGCGCCGGCTCCAAATCTTGGGCCGCAAGTTCGTCACCAACAAACAGCCTGCCCGCTTCGACGAAAGCAACGCGTGGCACTGGAGGTTTCTGCAATGTTGGTTGCCATGCTTTCCAATTTGAACCGCAGCTTGCTCTGACAACCTGCCAAGTTGGTCGGCGGTCCAAGCTGGGGCAGCCACCCATCCTTTAATTTGACAGCCTTGGGAAGTGCAATGCCAAGCCAGCTGGGAAGCCCAGACCAGGCGAAATACGCCAAACAGGAAGGAATCAGCTTTGGACAATTCAACTAACCAGGCGTTGCTGGGCCACTGGTGTTGCCATTCGGGCCACTGGGGCCAAGCGCTCCAAGGATTTCACAGCCCGCCGGCAGGCCAGCCATTCGCTAGCCGCAGCCGGATGAACCTGCAAGCCACAGCTCATACATCCGTAATGAAGGCTTGAAGGTGACCATGTGTCAAATATCAAGACCATGTGCCATGGTCTTTTGAGCTGAGCAGAAATACACCTGGCCCAACCTGTGCCAGCTTCCACGCTGAGCGCAGCGCAAGTTCTCAGCCGCCACAAGTCACACGCTCACCGTGGTCAGACACAGTGGGGATAGGTGTGACAACCTGCTTGTTTTGAAACAATGTTAGGAGTTGGCGTGAGGATTTCTGTTCAGGTAGGAGTTGCGACGTGATGACGGCTTCTGGTGGGTGGAACAGAGGAAAATATTGCTTGATGGTTCCCTGAATATGCCATGATTTTAAAAAGACTCAAACGTGGCACTGGAGCCAAATGCCCGGAAAACAAAAAAATGTTGTCTTGGATCTGCGATCCATCAAGTGTTTCAAGCAACCAAAATCGATACGCACAAATACATCGGCATCTGAACTTCTGACATCGTAAAAAGCACTCCACAACAAACAATACTTTGCCTGTGTATGTTTTCCATTTTTTTGGACACCGATGGACATTGTCTGCACTTAACCTGACCATACCTGACCAACCCTCACAATCCAACTCGCGCAACGCCCGCATCACGCTTGGAGACATCTCCAGCAATGGCCTGCTAGCCTGGCAGTGAGCAGCAAAAGTTACGTTTCTTTGCCTGTCAACACGTCTTGCCTGATGAGGGGGGGGTTTGCGGGTCGAAACTTGATCCAGCTGTACTGCTTCCTCTCCTGGTGCCACAATCCCGTACTTTACAGCACAAGCTTTGCACTCTTGGCATTGCTGACCCCTCCCCACCATTGTGTTCGACGCTTTCAGCATCTTGGGCATGGCGTCGGGTGGGTTCAAGGTTGGTTTTGGGTTCGTTCGGGAGAGGGCTACCTTAATCAAGCCAGCCTGAGCCATGCAGAACATCTGCTCGCGCGGCATTGGATGTGTTCGTCATCAAGCTGCATTTCTGCTGTCACGGGTGCTGCACGCATCGCTGGAGATTCACTAGCAACGTCTCTGGCAGCAAGCGGGCCGGACTTTCCAGATCCCAAGTCAACAACTCGGGATTTATTGGCTGATAGGTAGGGTTCATTTGGCCGGCTTCTGGGATGTTGTTTTTCTCATTTTTTCTTGCGCCTTTCTGCGGCCGCCGACGTCGACGCCAAGCACGACCAGTCGCCCGTCCGGCCCGCGCCGAGTTCGCCCTTGATTGACAACCTCGAGCCCGCTCCGCTCCAGCTGCACCGACGCGGACGTTGCCCTTCGTTGACCAGCTGACCTTGCATTGACTCTTTATCAAAGTCCGCCCAACTTTTTACTGCAAATTTTGGCCGCCTTGTGACGCCATTGAAGCCGCTTCCACCCAGGTTCGTGCTTGGTCTGTCTGGCTGTTGTTTCCCACCCAAGTGGCAGGCCACCATTTTTCCCAAAAGCGTGAGCTACATGACAGCCTTGCGCTCGCAGCTCAGCATTGGGACGGCTATGCTTGCGCATAGATTGCACAGCGGTTGCCGTCGCAACTCAGCTACGCACAGCCTTGCTTCAGCGATTGCACAGCGATTGCACAGCGATTGCTCGATTGCACAGCGATTGCACAGCGATTACGCAGCCCAGTCCACCCAGCCTGGTTCCCGCAGCGTCCTCGCCTACGACGCGCGGCTGACACAGCCCAGCTTGCACGCAGCTCGCTTACTTTCTGCAACCTGCCTCAGCTCGGCTTCGTAGCTTCGCTTCTCAGCCCAGGCCACACAGCCTGACTTATGCAGCTTGGCCTACGCAGCCCAGCTTGCACGGGGATTCTGCGTGTCGGATTGCTCTCGCTGTGGCGCCGTGCGAATTTTCTACGTGGCCGACGTCTCCCGTTCGTCCACCTGTTCTGCGCCTCCGCGTGCGAGTTCGTCCGGCATGACTCCGAACGCATCTCTCAGGCCGAGGGCGGATGATGCCCTTTTCTCCCTTGGCGTGCGGGACGCGCTTTGCACAAGTCCAAGCTTGCCTGGAACCCAACGAGTTGCTGTTGGTGTACATCGATGATGTTTACTTGCTCGCTTGGCCGGACCGCATCCGCTTCCTTTTTGATCGCTTGTCTGAGACTTTGGCGCCGTCCGTGCGTCCGCCTGAACCACGGCAAAACGCGGGTTATAGGGAAACATGCACTGCTCACTGCTCCAACCCAACACAACCCTCGACGCGATAGGAAAACGCTCCCCCTTTTCTATCCGGGTTGCGCTGCAGTCACATAGCTGATGCGAGCAGCGCACTGCGGCGCACGGCTTCGGCTATGAGAAGGCTCTGTTAACCCCTTGGTGAAACAACGAGTGTCATCTGGAGTTGAATCCTCGATTGGTTCTTCGCACAGCGGTGCCGAGGAGTTGTAACGAGCGGAGTTTGGGGAACCCAATGGTGTTTTTTGGCACCTAGGGTAATCCCAGAGCACTGCGGCGCTTGGCGCATGGGAGCCTGAGTTGCAAGCAAAGCGCAGGGGGCACTGCGGCGCAGGGTGGTGTTGGCCATGGGCGGCGGCCCGCGTGGCCAAAGTCATCAACCTCAGCAGAGATGCACAGCGGTGGCACGCGGCGGTGTCCAAAGCGCCCGGGCGCCCGGCACAGCGGTGCTGGGCGACCAGAAAGGAGCTACCTTAGTAACAGCCAGCGGGCTGACCAGTTTGAGTTTACGCCTGTGATCAAGCAAGGTGTTCGAGGGTGCTCTCCAGGCACCATCTGACGCCGACGAAGAAGCGGATGATTGATCCCGAGTGTGAGGTGGTCGAAGGCGATGTGATGTAGGGGGCAGTAGTCGCTACCACCCAAGTGTGTTCCAGTCACGAAAATGCCAGCAGTAGCGCGTGGGCAAAGAGGTAGTGCGAAGTTGTTCATCGGGTGAAGTGCCTACAGTGCCATCCAAGATGTAGCATGTTTCAACTATATAATTTTTTTCCATTCTCGAAAAGTGGACGGAAGGGCGTCAGGCGGTGCCACCATTGTTGCACTCGTGGTTCTCCACCCGGTCCGGCCACTCATACTCAAAGTACGACATGACACAATCTTCAAACTTTCACACTACGAAACAGCGACTGAGGTAGATGCCAGTTATGTGGGACGTCGGATTGTGATTCATCAGACATGTTGTGTCGACCCATCATCATGGATGACGGAGGTGCAGGTGGCGGCGGCGGTGGTGGCGGAAGTGGTGGAGGACGTGGTGGTACTAGCTCGTCATCAGGTCCACGCCACAACCGAATTAGCCAAGTGTAATGATAGTCTGGGTACTCTGATCCATTGTGCCTGCAGACCGAGCACGCAGGCTCAGAAGCAAAATTGTCAGAAACTTGGGTGTAAGTTGCTTGACGCCGGAGCAGGGCGACCGCATCACCGTGCCACCGCCCGCCGACCTCGACTGTGGCCCGGGACCGGCCCTCTTCCGCCTGTCCGCCGTGGACAAAGCGACGCCATCGCGCGCTGCCGCGCCTGCGTGTGGGCGTCCCTGCGTATCCAACGCACTGACCAGCGTGGCATCGCAACACAACGCCTCGCCTCGCTCAGCGCACGACCAGATCCAGGCGGCGTCGATCCTCCGCCTGAACCCGAGGAGCTGTAGTGTTGGCGAGCCACTGCTGTGGCACTACCCGGCCTTCGGGCCCCACCGCTTCCCGTGCCACGCGGACCCGAGCTTGTTCCACCACCCAAGCGTGTCGTGCGGTGATCGCCGAGGGCGTCGACGGCGCGACCACACCCGGGTTGGCCAAGGCCACCACACCTGCGTGGGGCCAGCGGCAGCGGCAGCCTCAGGCGACGGCGTAAAGCAAGCGACATGTGCTCGGGCGACAGCTGCATCCCTGGGTCGGGTAAGCCACGTGCTGCGAAGTTTGCTCAAGACCAGGCATGACCTCCCGCTCCCTGTTGAACGTTGAGTGCGGAAGCAGCTGGCCGTTGCCATCCTTTTTGCACGTCGCTAGGGTCACCAAGGTCCGAGTCGCGGGCGGGCCAAGATGGCCGGGCCTCCCATCCGGCCGCTTCGAGGACGCGCGCCTTCGCGCAGCGCAGCTCCAGCCGCCTCGTCCTCAACCAGCTGCAGGGCGGAGGCGGTGACGGCAAGCCCAACCCGCCAAGGTGTGCCGGCAGGAACCCGAGTCGGCGAACAGCGGCCCAATCTTGGTTGCTCACGCCAGGTTCGCCCAGGAGCCGCTGCAAGGTGAGCCAAAGGGCATCATCGTGCGCAGCTGCAAAAATTCATTTTTTTCATCAGACAGCGATGGCGGCAACGTGCGCAGAAGGCGCTGTGCCCGCGGAGAAGCGCAATACAGCAGCAGCAGCCACGCGCATTGCAAGTCGGGCAAATCGAGCAGGGCGTCCAGGAACCGCTGCGCTTCCTGCAGGCGCGTACGTGTCTCCTGCGCCACGAACTCTGCCGTGCCGATGGGAGTGCCGAGGGCAACAAAACCCCTCGCCGAAGGTTTTCTCACTGCGCCACACCTCCGGTTGCAATTCCAAACGGTGGGGGTCCTACCGTCGCACTGTAAGCACGCGTTTTCCCCAAATTTGCCGCTACCCCGGCGTGTTCCTCAGTGACCCTGTTCAGGATCGCATTTGCGCGCGCGGGGCCATGAATTGCTTGAACTAAGCGTAGTTGGAGGGGTAAGCCAAAGTGGTTGCCCTGTTGCCATGGGCCCTGAGGGCGGGCGCTGTGTGCTCTGTGCGGCTGAAAAACCGGGTGTAGTGGAATTCGCGAAGGTTGTCGGTGTTGGCATCTGTTGGTGCGCAGGTCGAGCGTGAGGAG